CACAGAGGGAAATGTGAGGGTCACAGTGTCCAGGCTCTATGTTAGGTTTCACCGGGATATGTTTCTGCACTGAACAAAAATCTATAGTAATAATAATAATCCTTGCATTTGATATAGCGACTTTGCATGTTGGGAAGCACGTGTTAAAGCACTTCACAAGATATATTGTAAATTATATTGTGTAGTTTTGTAGGCGAACGCGTCAGTTAATTTTGCGCACAGTAATCGCTCACATCTAACTATGAAGTGAATGATGGACTTTATTTGGGGAATTGTTGGCCAGGACACTGGGAAAAACTCCCAAATCTTTTCAAATAGTGCCATGGGCTCTTGAACGTCCACTTGAACCGGCAGATGGGACCTCAGTTTCATGCTTCATCCGAAGGATGGCACCTATGACAATACAACACACACCCAGCCTTGGATTGGAGTGTCACCTTAGACTATGCAAATCCAAGTCTTGACGTGGAACTTGAACCCACAACCTTCTGGCTCAGGGGCAAGAGTATTACCAACTAAGCCAGTCTGACGCAAAAATAGTCAATGTGCTTCAAAGTACTTGGGAGACCATTTGGCACGACAGTGTGCTATAAAAATGCAAGTTCTTTCTTCCTTTCTAGTTCACTGGATAAAAAATAATCGACGAATCAATGCCAGAATATATAAACAGGATCTTTATTGTCCTTTCCCCATTATTCAAGAGACCACTTTTGCTGCTGTGAAAGCTATGAAAACATTATATTACTTTCTTGTGAATTATTTGGAACATGTCAATGCTAAGAATGAATTGTTGGAAGACTGAGGCAGAATGGGGTCAGCTAGCACCCAGACAACCTTTAACAGATGTTACTAGGAGTCCAGTAATGCACAGAGCACTATCACATGCTGACCTTACAATTGCACCACCACCAACAACATGCTTTTATATGGCACCTTTCATGCAGATAGCATCTTGGAGCACTTAACAATGGCATAGTTTGATGCCAAGTTATGAAGAAAAGGGAGATGACCACAGGCAAAGTCATTGAGACATCTCAAAGCACTTTAGAGAATATACTGTAAAGTGGAGTGACTGTATATTCTGTGGGAGAAATGTAGCAGCCAATTGTGCGCAGCAGGGTCCCACTATCAGTCATGGATTGAATGACGAAATTATCATTTTTTTGAAGGGATTATTAGCCCCAGAAAGTGATCCGCCAATCGACTAACAAGTGGATTCCTCCTTGCTGCAAGGTAAACAGGCGTGTGGATTAAGGAAGCTTGCCTAAGCTTTCACCCCACATGGGAATCAAATCCAGGTCCTCCCACATGCGAGACAAGTGCTTTAACCACTACGCTACAGGACGCTACATGGTTAGATTTCAGCAGTTACCGCAGTGCACCCTCCGGGCTCCCCAAGCCTTATTAACAATAATAATCCTTGCATTTGATATAGCACTTTATCACATCGTCGAGATGCCTTAAAGTACTTCACACAATATACTGTAGGGTGCTGGAATACCGCCAGACAGAAATATCAATGCAACCTATGTGGTTTTAGCTGCTTAGACTCAAGCAGTTACCACAACGCACACTCTGGGGTCTCCAAGCGTTGGCTCTTGCCAACCTGCGCCTAATTCTTTCCGGAATTGGGTAAGCAGGGTGCAGTCACTGTGTATTTTGCGGTCAAAACACAAATAAATAACAAGAATATTACATCTCACCATCAGAGAGTAATATTGGAATCAAGCCAGCCCTCTGTGATAGTCTTGGTAGTCTGGTTCCTGAGCCAGACGGGTCCATATTATTCCAGGGCACTTCTGATGACAGCACTGCACATCCTGGCTCTTCTGCAGTACCTGGATAGGCAGACCAGTCACTGTGGGCAGGGAGTCATCCCACTCAGCCGCTATTAACTCTGCAGGCCAAAGTCCTCACGAGTAGGGTGCTGGAATACTGCCAGACAGAAATATCAGTGCAACCTATGTGGTTTTAGCTGCTTAGACTCAAGCAGTTACCACAAAGCAGACTCTGGGGTCTCCAAGCGTTGGCTCTTGCCAACCTGCGCCTAATTCTTTCCGGAATTGGGTAAGCAGGATGCATCCCTCCAGGGAGAGAGAGTGTGTGCATTCTATTAGAATAAATATCTTGGGAAACCAGAGAGCTGTCCTCAATATTTCTGAGTTGAAAGTGCAGCGATTTGTAATGGAAACCCTGAATAAGAAATCCCATTAAAATCCGGGCTGACTAGTGGGAACTCCAGAGCGGTATCTCCATGAGTCATAATGATAAATCTCCGGTAATCAAAAGCCAACACCCCATTTGCACAAATTGGATTCCTTATTAGTGAGAAACGATTAGACAATCTGGGGATCTTCAATCTCGAAAGGAAATGACTCAGAATTTTTTTAAGGTGGTTTATAAAATGTTAAATGGGATTCAAAACGTAAATCCAGAACCATCCAACATAATGCACCAAAACATAACAACAAGCGAATACGGGTTTAGAGATGCAAAGGGTAAGTTCAGGCCAGAAATGAGGAAGCTTTTCTTTGCTCAATGGAAGAAGCTGCCAGGAAGGGTGGTTGAGGCCAAGACACTGGACTTATTTACAGCACAGTTTGTTATTGGGATGGGAGGATGGCAGCGTACATATGCAATGATATCAGACGGGTCGAAGGGCCTTTTCATCCGAACTAATCTTGCGATTTTGTGAGTCCGTTTAGAAATCACATTATTGTCAACCGCTATTATTAAGTACATTTAAACCCATGCTGGCTAGAATAATAAGGGGGAATCCAGTCCAGCAAGCTGGAATTTCCAGCTCTAATTATCGGTATTTACCAATATAATTCAAAAAAAATTATTCAAAAAATGTTGTTTTCAGGCCTGGTCCAGCTAGGTTCAAATTCCATACACCAGGCATCTGGTAACGATAATAATAATAATAAGCTCCCGAGGGATACAGTGGAAGTTATTGTTATTTGTTTCAAGACTAATTAGATAGATTTCTGCTAGGAAATAATATCTCGGGATACAGTATATAGTTTGAGACACAACATGTCAAACGACTGGAAAGAAGGACCTTCGTCTTCTTTCTTCTAGCAAATTCTTAAGTTCTTAATAATAACAATAATATATTTACAGAACATATTGTAAAGTGGATTGACTGTGTATAGTGTGGGCAAAACAAGGGTAAGCCAGGGGTTTACTGTAATATATTTCCCATTTAGTATCATAATATAATAATAATCCTTATATTTGTTATAGTCTCAAAGTGCCTCACAGGATCTTTGATTGGAAAGTGCAGTGACTGTGTATTTTGTAGCTTCAAGTGTAATGAAAGGTCATTTACAAACTGGAGCGGAAAGGAATTAAAGGGGCTCTCATATTGCGTCAATGTTTTGTTGCACTTGGCAAATCGGGCTGAGCCACATTGGAAACAAACACGAATAAACAGAGAATTTGTTGGCCCGTTTTTGCGTTGCTCTGTTGACTTTGTTACAAGTATTCATTTAAAACCATTCAACAATGATTATTGAGCTGCTATCAGGCATTTTAATCTGCCTTCACTGGGAAAAAAACCCTTGTGGATAATGGAGACGTGATCAGTCACCATGACAACACATCACTTTCGCTGCGATTACCTTCACACTGAAGCTGTTAGACATCTGATACGAAAATAATGCTTCTTTCAAACGCAGCGCAAATTGCCTTCCTATCTGTGGAAATTGATTAAATGTCAACACTCCCATCCGTTCCATACAAAATACACAGTCACTACACTATACAGTAAATCTTGTGAAGTGCAGACAGTCTTGACTGCACCTTTGACAATGCAGCACACCCCCAGCAGTATATTGGAGACTAGTTGGGTTCCAAGTCCCGATGTGGGGCTTGAACCAATAAACCGTCTGAATCAATGGCGAGAGTGTTACCAACCCAGTCAGGTTGAATACTGAGCAATGTTGCGCCAATTGGAATCAAACCAACCCTTAAGCATTCCCAGAGCACACTGGCTGTTCTTGTTGAGATCGCAGTCTAAACAAAGGAAACAAGCAAACCCATGGAGATATGAGCCATAAACTTCTGTACATTGTACCAACAGACATTTCAGGTCACACAGTGTATCATTTCTGGATACCAATCAATGCAAACTAACTCTCAGCCAAGTCAATATTATACAAGCAGCCCTGATATCCTTCAAATTATTGTGTCTTTGCTTGAACTGTCCAATCTTTGGATTGGTTTGAAATTAAGACTATTGGGTGATAATCCTGCTCATGTCATCCTCAGTCAGTAGCACTCTCAGCTCTTGAGTCAGAAGGTTGTGGGTTCAAGCCCCACTTCAGGACTTCGAACTCACAGTCTAGTCTAACACTTCAGTGCAGTTTGTGAAGTGCTTTGAAACATTTCAACAATGTGATAAGATGCTATATCAAATGAAAGGATTATTATTATTATATTCACTTTGTGTTTGGGCAAGAAATTGGCTGCCAACGTTGCCTCTACACTTCACAGTACATCCTTTGAAGTGCTTTGAGACAGTCTCACAATGTGAAAGATGTTATATCAGGTGCAAGGCTTGTTATATATTCCCAGAATAGCCCTGAACCATCCTTCCTTTTAGTGAAAAAAAGAGTAACAATCAAACAATCTCTGTCACATCACAGCTCACCACTGACAAAACCAAAATGTATTTGCAACATCACAAAGAGTGTATTAGTTACTTTAAAGTGTTTTATTCAAATTACTTAGTCGTCGAAAAAAGTTGCTTCAACATCAATACCACATTGAACATTTACAAGTAAGTACAACAGTGAAACAGCTACAGTTACTGAATGTTTTATATATTATGTATTTATATATATGAAGGCATTCGCTTGAAATCAATGCAAATTTCTTGAATGAGCTACGCCTGTGGCACTGAAAATCTTTACAGCAAGATAAAACATCTCCCGCACACAAGCTGTGCGGACTCGCAATGCGATATGAGTAGTACATCTTTCACCAGAGGACTGTCAGTGGAAGCTGAGGCTTCTATCAAGGACTTTTCTACTCCCTACGACATTCCCAGAACTTGAGAAATCTGCCACATAAAGATTAGCAGTCACAGTCTTTCGGAGTCTGTTGAGATTTCTGGCACACTCTGAAAAGAAAACAAAACCACAACTATGTTAAAATATTAACCAGAAGGACCCAGAAATTCTACCTAACCTTAGACTGTAAGACCGATTTTTGGGGGGCGGCAGGAAAAGAAATTGTAACTGTTTTCCAATAAATTCAGAGCCTGAAGAGTTTGATAAATTGTTCAATTCAGCCATAACTTTGAAGGGTGTTTTTCTGTGGGTTTCTTGGTAACGGCTTCAGAATGAAAGCTGTATTTAAGAATCTGCCTAAGTCTAGATGCTTTGAAATGCTAGACCCAGGTGGAATTCTTTCCTGTTTTGTCTTTAAAATTTAAGACTCGATCTTAAATTCTAAGGAAAAACGGTCTGACAGGCTGGGAGCAGGAGAAATTTCAGGCATCTGCTCACTTCCCTGTAATGTCATAGGAGGTTTATAGCCTAAAAGGAGGTCATTTCATCCCATTTTGTCTGTGCTGGTGATTCAAAGAGGTTGCATAACTAACCTTTAGATTTAAGGGCACAATCCCAGGACTTGGGCACTCTCACAGACCCATCATAAAGCAACGAAAGCACATGCTGATATTTTTAACAATACATGTGCTGTACATATGCTTGGAAGTGAAATTCACAAATGTCCAACTATGCAGACATAATCGTTTTTTTGATTTAGCTGAACACAGGGCACCTTAACCTCTTTTGTTCCCATCCTCTGCACTAAATTGTCCACATTTGTTTCAACTCGCCGGTTGTCTGGCTTTTTGGTAGCAATTTGGATTGTGTGAGGCCTGGACAGCTGGGTCAGATGCACATCTGGGAATCTATTCCAGGGTTCGTTCATGGTACAGAATGAACTCTCACACGAATAGCTGCACGCAGCACACTAAGGCACTTTCCAGCTATTTTTCAGGAGAATGGTGGTGAACAACTTCCAGAAGACCACGTATATAATAACATACCCCTCGCATTTGATATAACGTACTGTTATAACATTNAAAAAAAACTACAGTGGAAATTGCTGCTGATGTGTAGTGATTGTGCATTTTGTAGGCAATCGTGGCAACCATGTTGTGCACGGCAAGGCCCACTTCACTCAGCAGACCCAGGCCTGCTGCACATCCCACCCCCTCTTCTCAGTGCCAACATCAGTGGCTGTGCCCCCAGTCACTACATCCTTAGTCTGGAACTCCCTGCTTTGATTTGCGGGACACTGCTGTGCGCAATTGTCTGCTGCGTTTCGCCCACAAAATGTACAGTTAATTCGCTTTACAGTATATTTCTTGAGGCGCTTTGAGACATCTCAAAGACGTGATAAGCTGCTGTATCAAATGCAAGGATTATTATTATTATTATACATTACACCAGGGAGTATTTTGGGGATGGTGTATTTTATGCCAAGAAACACTTTAAAGCAGGCTGATAAATGCAAGCTTTACTGAATAGCTCTATAGTTCTCTGAGAGCCAGGACATGAGAGCCAGAGCATTCCGTGAACTAACAATCATCTGGATNAAAAAACACTCCAAGTGAATCTCTTCCATTTTCCAGGGAGAGATGAGAGATTTAAGGAGGCCTCTGGAGGGTCTACTAGTTTTCAGGGAGGACTGCCGGTCTCAGGCTGTGCAAAGTATTTGCTGAACAAAAACACCCTGATTTACATTCTGGGGTTAGAGATGATTCTGGATGTTGGGTGGGGAGGACAGAGGAGGTAAATGTGTTGAATGTGAGGAGAAACAGCCATTCAGCAACTTCAATGGCAAGACATGCACAAGTCACACTTTTTGCAATGCTAATTATCGCCGGTGATAATGAGCATATCATATATTGTATTACCACTCCCACGATAATTATATTAACAGCAACACCAGGTCAGATCCAGAGAGGTGCCTGATATAACAGTCCAAGCTGGAGTTGACAGCACCTGGACTTGCTCTCTCAAATACAGACACTGAGTGAGAACTTATATGAAGTTATACAATCTGCCCCGAAAGCTGGAACAATTTGAGTAAAGTTTACATTAGTCAGCCTGCTGCAAAGTGTTTCCTGGCATAAAATACATCAACTCCCCAAAATTACGAGGACCCCCCTTGACTCTGCTTTAAAAGAAGTGAAACAAACCTTCATTATACGACCAGAGGGGTAAAATGTAACATCTGGCACAACAATGGAGCAAAAATTGGAGCAGTAAATCCAATGCTTTGCAATAAAACAAATTTATTAAGTGATTCACCTATGTCTATAGACTCAGCTACTGACAAAAATTTATTGGGAACATCGCTCCTGAATGGATTGATTCTTAGAGCTGCCGTCCCAAATGTTCTTTTAGTCTCTGATCTTTGTGGTTACCATTGTCGAGCAATGTATCAACACATTTGAGGGAAAAATATCCTCTCACCCGTGAGAGTCTCTGTGCTCCAGAAGCAAACAGGTTCGTCAAATCACAAAGGGCAGTTAGGAAGATGAGAGCACTTTGCGGAATAATAATAATAATCCTTGCATTTGATATAGTGCCTTATCCTGTCTTCGAGACATCTCAAAGCACTTCACAGTAAAACGTATTGTAAAGTGAATTGACCATGTATTTTGTGAGTGACCGATCACAGGATAAGTTTCTTATGGTTAACTAAGAGTGTAGATCCTTGTGTTGCCATTGATCTGAATGTATGCCTCCTCCTATCCCCCTTTTATCTGCTACTCCCACTCTATCCTTCTCTCCCACCACCCTCCCCACCTTCTCTCTCTCCTGGACCCCACCATTACCTCCCTTTGCTCCAGACTGGGCATCCTCTGCCAGGCCCATTATGGCTCCCGGCGTTGGTTGTCCGAGAGCAGCCACCCGAACTCCTCATGGCTCACTCTCTCCGCACTAACTGCCTCCCAAAGACAAACACACCTTCCTCCTGCCTCATCCATACACTCTCCAGTGATTCCATCCCACTAGTTGAAGCCTCCCCTCCTGGCTACACCTTCTACCACATCCCCCCGCCCAAACCAACATGATGATGGGGTGGCCCTCATCTCCAAAGCTTCCCTCAGTCTATTCCCCTATTCCTCTGGCTGCTTCTCCACATTTGAGCACCTCACCCTCTACTATCCCTCCTCTCTCTTACTCAAAATTCTCCTGGTTTACTGCCCCCCCCCCAAAACTCCTTACTTTCCGATATCTCCGCTCTCCTCGCCTCCCTGTCCCTCTGCTCAGAACACCTGCTCATAATCGGCAACTTCAACCTGCACCTAAACTCCCCTTGCACCACATCCTCAGGCTTCACTGCCCTCCTCTTCTCCCTAAACCTCACCGTCCACATCAACTCGCTAACCCACAACTGTGGCCACCCCCTCGACCTCGTCACCACACATGGCCTTGACATTGCCGACCTGTGCATCACAGATATTGCCATCTCGGACCACTTACTCATCTCCTTCTCCTCTCGCATCACTCTCCTCTATCAAGCCCTCAACCGTACTTTTCCGCCCATGGGAAAGGTTTCCCCCCGAGACCCTCACAAAAGCCCTCTCATCCTCAGATCTCTATCCCTCTGGCCTTCCACCCGCAGCAACCCTGAAGCAGCCGTCAAGCTGCTCCATGGTCGCCTCTCCTCCACCTTCAACTCCCTCGACCCCCGAAAACCAGGACCGTCTCCCCCTGGTACAACAGCCATCTCCGCTCCCTAAATCCCAAACCCGGCTGCTCGAGCGCAGGTGGCAGAAAACCAGCCTCACAGTTCACCACCAGCTGTTGCTTGAGCATCTTTACACCCATCGCCACTACCTGTCGCAAGCCACAACTGCGCACTACTAAAACATCATACTGGAGGCCAACAATAACTCCAAAATCCTATTCACCACCTCTTCCATGCGCCCCCTCAAGCCCCTCAATCATCACTTCTAACGCCAAGTGCGAAGAGGTCATGGACTTCCTTACCTCTAAAATTGACAACATCCGTCTGGCAGTTTCAGCCTTCTGCCCCGAGTCACCTACCACCACCCCCGTTCCATCTCCCTCACCTCATACCACGGCCCCTATCCTACATTCATTTGACGCCATCTCTCCTTCCTCCCTCTCATCCACCATCACCACAATGAAACCAACCACCTGCTACCTTGATCCCCTCCCCACCCGACTGCTAATTACCCAGATCCCCCTCCTCTGTCCACTGCTGGCAGACACTATTGACTAGTCTCTCTCCTCAGGATCAGTCCCACTCCCCCTCAAAACCACTCCCCTCCTTAAAAAATCTACCCTCGATCCCGCCTACCTTGCCACTACCACCCTATCTCAAACCTGCCCTTCCTTGCCAAAGCTCTGGAATGCGTGGTTGGCAACAAACTTCATGCACATCTCTCCCTCCACACACTACTCGAACCCCTCCAGTCCGTTTTTTGCTCTACCAACAGTACAGCGACAGCGCCCATGAAGGTCATAAACGATATCCTCGTTATCTGTGACCAGTGCTCCCTCTGCCTCCTCATCCTCCTGGAGCTCTCCTCCGCTTACGACACTGTTAAACATACCATCCTCCTCCACCGCCTGTCCTCCATCATCCACCTCAGTGGGATGGCACTCACTTGGTTCGAGTCCTACCTTACAAACCGCCAACACTACATTTCATCGAGAGCTGGATGAGTGCAAATTTCCTGCAGTTAAATGTCAACGAGATGGAAGCCATACTCTTTGGCTCCCGTTGACGTCTTCTTTCCCACGGTTCCGACTTCATCAACCTACCTGACCTGTCCTTAACACTCTCTGAACCCGTGCGCAACTTAGGCATCAGGTTCAATGCACAGTTATCCTTCCTCCCCCACATCTGGTCCCTGACCAGCACTACTTTGTTCCACCTCCGCCACATTGCCCATCTCCGACAATACCTCACCCCAAAAGCTGACGAACCACTTGTCCATGCCTTTATCACCTCTCGGCTGCACTACTCTAACCCCCTCCTCGCCGATCTCCCCTCCTCCACTATTCACAAAATTCAGCTCATTCAAAACTCCGCCGCCCGCATTCTCACCCACACCAAACTTCATAAGCCTATTACACCAGTCCTTGCCACACTCCACTGGCTCCCTGTTGCAGAGCAGATCGACTTCCAGATCCTCACTCCAGTGTTTAAATCCCTCCATTCCTTGGAACCCTCCTATCTCTCTAACCTCCTCTCTCCCCACAGCAGTATCCGCTGCCTCCGCTCTACTGAGTCCAGCCTCCTCCGTGTCCCCCGAATCCTCTGCTCCACCATCGGCAGCCCTGCCTTCAGCCCTGAAACTTTCGCTTTCGAATTCCCTCCCTCGACTCCTTCGCCTCACCCCCTCCTTCCCCATCTTCAGGTCACTGCTGAAGACCTTCCTCTTCAATCGCACCTACAGTCACCTTCACCCTCCCCCTGGTTCGGCTACAGGTTCCGCCATCATTAAGTGTTCTGAGACGCTGCCCGGCGTGGAGGGTGCTATATACATGCAAGTTGTTGTTGTTATGCATTATTTTCAGAGATCAACAGTCAATGACTACGTGAGAGCCAGAGGTGGCAAGCTAAGTAATAATAGGTAAACAGAGGTGTGTGGAGTAAGAAAACTTGCTCAAGGTTTCGCCCCACCCGGGAATTGAACCGGAATCATCTCACTTGTAAGGCAAGCATGCTAACCACCACACAATGGACTCCACAAATGTAAACAAATGGCTTTACCAAATCATTATTAGAAGAATGCGGGGGGCTAAGACCCCAGCGATGATGTGGCTTTCTAACTCCCGACGAGAAAACAAGTCGTTAGACGACAAGATATTTCACCATTGCCAAAAAAAACAGCAGATCTTCCAAGTTAATTTTAGAGCACTCAGCGGCCAAAAAAACAATGTTGGTTTGTGGGGCCTCTCAGCAGTAACTGCAGCTGGAGTGTAACAAGTGATAAATAGCAATTCTCTTTCCACAGAAACACCATCTGTGCTCGCTACTTGAGTGTCGATGCACGTAGCCAGGTTTTTATTGGGATGGATACCAATTGGCTGACCGTCCCTACTTGCAAACCATTCGCAGACTCAGCTCCCTGCATCCGCCTCTGCACCACTCTCACTCTCATTCACTCGTTCTTTATCAAGTGCTACAAAGGCAAGCCGATGGAGGTGAAAAACTCTTGTTGGGAGAACAGCGGCATAATTATGCAGGTAATCCATTTCCTCTGGGAACAACCTCCTCCACACAAACCCATGCACCTTCAGACAACTCATATGGACTTGGCTACAAAATGCTCTCATTTGAGACAATGCAAGATCCCCTTTCGCTCTGCCCTTTCCTGGGCAAATGCTTATTCAACTCCAGTGTCTAACTTGTGGTTCATTGTTCACTTAAGCGCTCTGGGATGCTATATAAATGCAAGTTGTTGTTGTTGGAAATGTTCCCAGCACCCTTCATCACAGAGTGCTGGGAGGCAATAATACTAATAATTCTTGCATTTGATATAATGCCTTATCATGTCGTTGAGGCATATCAAAGCACTTCACAGAATATACAGTAAAGTGAATTGACTATGTATTTTGTGCATGAAATGTGGCAGCCAATTGTGCACAGCAGTGTCCCACAAACAGTCATGGATTGAGTGACCAAATTTTTTTTTAAGCGAATATTGTTCCCGGACAAGTGATCCGCCAATCAACTAACAATCGGGATCCTACTTACTGCTAGGTGAACAGAGGCGTTTGGAGTAACGAAACTTGCCCAACGTTTCACCCTGCCGGGAATCGAACCCAGCCAGGCAATTCCTCTTTATAATGAGTGTTCCTGGCAAAATGCTCCAGGGAATCCCCCACAAATGTCAAATAAAACAGAAGAAATGGATTTACTGCCTCCAGATATCCACCCACCTATGTCAAAAATCCCATTAGAAGAAAGAAAATGTGCGGTTAGTTCCATTCGCATAAAGTGGGGCAAGGATCCCGTCAACCCTGCAAATCTGAAAGTGTGAAGAAATAAAACGCCTCTAGTGAAAGCTCAACTCAGTCATACCAGTCAGCTGTCCATTCGTTACGAACATAAGAATTTCTAGACAAAAGAAGACTAAGGTCCATTCAGTTTGCCTTCCACCATCCAGGCAACTATGTTGCATACATGTCAAACATACATATTTACTGTATCCCACAATATTATTCCTTAAAGAAATCTATCTAATTTGCTTTTGAAAGAATCAACACTTTCTGCTTCCACCATTTCCAAAGAGATCCTGTTCCAATTCATTTACCACTCGCAGACTGAAATATTGGTTTCCGCAGATTCGTTTTGAATTTACAATTTTGAATTTCATTTTGAATCCAATCGCAGTTCCCCAGATTAAACATAAAATGTGACGGTACTTTTGTTGATTCATTGACCCTCTAGCATTGCGGATGGTCGCTGTGATAATGTGCTCCTGAGATGCATATTAAGCACTGACTGTGGAATTGCTAGCTGTTGAATGCTTCCCCTCAAATGGAAATAAAAGTGTTTGGATTAATTAAACACTGGGGCAAATACAACAGTATGCATTTATATAGTGCCACGGAGTGCTGCCAACACTTTACAATTTACATTTATATAACACCTTTCACACGGAAGACAGGAGGATGTCTCAAAGTGCTTGACATTGCTGTATGGGCACTCGAGCTGGTAGTGGGAGACAAAGAGATCAGGGAAGGGTAAGATGAGGTATATTTTGAGGCAAGTCTTGAACAAGGGGAGGGAGCAAGCAATTCAGTGGATCTCCAGTTTGCAGTTCCAGAGAGCTGGAGCAGAATGGTTAAAAGTCCACCTGCCGATTGGCGGCAAATTAATTGAACATTGGAAAATAGCTGTATTGGTCTTGGGTTTACACATGGTCACTTTGGGAATTGGACAAGGTAAAAGTTTCACCTTTGCTCTTTGGGCTTCTTCTGTAGAAACCTGTGGAAACACAGTGCTGTACGTCATTACTGATACATTTCCACAAGCAGATACACTCATTCATTATTAAAAGATAAGATTCAATCAATGTTCTGAATCACCAAATGCCACCGCACATGTATTATTACTAGTATAGATCTGTACAGGGTCACTAGAATGTCTGAATATTCAAACAAAGACTGCAAGTGAGAAAACTATTAGCCAGAGGGTCTGAGAAATGGCTCATGCTGTATTTAAAGTACTCAGAGATGTCAAGAGTTGTGGAAGGCAATGATGGATTCATATTGCATTCTCCATAGCAGTTTGAATTTGGTGGGAATTAAAAACAAACACCTGACATTGCACCTACAGACCTTTCCCTTTCACAGGTCAAAACTGACTTTTACTCGAAAGTCATCCTAGAGGCAAACAACAATCCAAAGACGCTGCTTTCAACTCCATCACCTCCTTTGTGCACCCCCTCAAGGCCCCTCCTTCGTCACGTCAAACGCCAAGTGCGAAGATGTCCTAGACTTCTTTGCCTCAAAAATTGAAAACATCCGCTTGGCTGTACCGTCCTCCCCTCCCAATGTGCCCTTCCACCCCACCCAGACCATCCACACCGCCTTCTCCCTCTGCCACGGCTCCTGCCACCACTACATCCTCCTTAGACCCCTTTGCCTCCATTTCTCCCTCCTCCCTTTCAACCACAATCACCCGGATGAAGTTCACCACCTGCTACTTTGATCCCCCTCCCCACCCAGCTGCTGGTCACTCAACTCCCTCTTCTCTCCCCCCTGCTGGCTGACCTGGTCAACCAGTCTCTCTCTGCAGGCTCTGTTCCACTCCCCCTGAAAACTGCTGTCATCATACTCCTCCTCAAAAAAACCCACCCTCGATCTCTCTAATCTCGCACACTACCACTCCATTATCAAGCTAAGACCGAAGTCTTCAAATGCATTGTTGCATTCCACTTCTCCATCCACTCCCTCCTTGAGCCCCTGCAGTCTGTTTTCATCCTACCCACAGCACAGAGACAGCGTTTGTCAAAGTCACAAATGACATCCTCTCTATCTGTGTCCAGGGCTCCCTCTGCCTCCTCATCATCCTGGATGTCTCTGCTGCATTCAACACAGTCGACCATGCCATCCTCCTCCATCAGCTCTCCTCCCTCATCTATCTTAGTGGACCGCACTCGCATGGTTTGAGTCCTACTTAACCAACCACCTCCATTTCATCTCAGCAAATGATTTCTCCTCCTGCCCCCATCCAGTCACCTGCAGAGTACCCCAGGACACCATCCTTGGCCCTCTTCTTTTCCTTATCTATATGCTCTCTCTGGGTGATGTGATCCGCAAACACGAAGTAAACTTCCACATATATGCGAATGACACACAAATCTACTTTGCTTCCTCCAGTACCAACTCCAGGTCATCCATGTTCTATCAGCTTGTCTGGCCGACTTCAAGGCCTGAAGGAGTGTAAACTTACTGCACCTGAATAGACAAGACAGAAGTCCTACTCCTTGGCTCCTGTCAATGTCTTCACTCCTGTTGATTTAAACTCCTCAACCTCCCTGGGCTCTCCCTCAGACTTATCGAACCAATGCTAGGCGACCGGTTCAACCCCCAGCTGTCCTTCCTTCCCCACATCCGGTCCCTGACCAGGACCGCCTTCTTCCACCTCTGCCACGTTGCCCACCTCCGCCCATACCTTACCCCAGATACAGCCGAAACCCTCGTGCATGCTCTTGTCACCTCCCGCTTGGATTACTCCAATGCACTCCTCAAGGTCTCCCAAACCATTCACAAGACCCAGCTCATTCAAAACTCTGACCAGGACCAAACTCCATACCCACATATCACCAGTTCTGGCCAGGCTCCACTGGCTCCCCATCATTAACGGATTGACTTCAAGATCCTCAAATTCGTGTTCAAATCCATTCACTCCCTGGCATCTCCTCACCTCTCCGACCTCTTCACTCCCCAATCCACCACCCGGCACTTCTGCTTGACTGGCACCGGCTTCCTGCTCGTCCCTCGCACTCTCCGCCCCACCATTGGATGTTGTGCTTAAGCCACTACGCCCCCAAACTCTGGAACGCTCTCCCTCAATCCCTCCACCTTGACCCCTCTCTCCCCTCTTTCAAGTCCCATCTGAAAACTTTCCTCTTTGACCATACTTACGGTCACCTCCCCCCTCCCCCTGGCTCGGAGTCAGGCTCCACCACTGTTAAACACTCTGAGACGCTACGCTGCATGGAAGGCGCTATATAAATGCAAGTTGTTGTTGTTACACCGCAATGAGGTATCCGATGTTTAATCTTATGTGAGAAACAGTCGGTCGTGCAACTGGCATTTGATAATGTTTAAATGCTTTTGTTGAAAGAGACTCACAAGGAGGATAGGCCTCCCACAGAAATACCACTTCCAGGCTTCACAAACAGAAAGAATACTCGCCTTGTCTTGTATACCATAACAGTGACAACAGCTCCAATGATGAGGGTGACACCACAGACATACGCAATAACATAAATCATTGCACCTGAAAAAAACAAATCATCAAATCAGTTAGCTTTATATGATATAAGTATATTGGTCAGCACATAGCACAGTACACAAATAAATATAGAGTGGATTTATATTGGATATCACAAGGCACAGTACATAAATCCTGTATACATATTGGCTGGCACATGACATACTCCTTGTTTAGCTGGTACTAACTGTCCCATTAGCGTGTTGACTTGCAAGAATGAGGACATGTCTACGGGGTGTATTTCTTAACAGATTTCTTGATTAAGAATACCTTAAGAAATCTACTGAGAAATTCAGCAACATTGACCTTTATATCTCGACGATTTTGTTGGTCATCTGCAAATCTCCCTGTTATTGCCAGGCATATCCCTGCAGAGTTGGTTCAGCCCAAGGGAGATTCAATTTAGGAGGATGCTCCAAGGCACTGATTATTGCTCTGGTGTGCAGAGGTGTTTGGAGTAAGAAAACTTGCCTAAGGTTTTTCCCTCCTTGAGAACCGAACCCAGGTCCTCTCGCTTATGAGGTGAGAGCTCTAAACACTATGCTACAGGACTGCACAGGATAAGGCTGTAAGCCTATGTGGAGTTCGCAACCCCAAGTTCAACCCTGGAAGCGAGAATGCTCCAAACTGAGCCAAGCTAATACCTATTGGAAAGCTTAGCTCCTGACTGGTAAAAGTCTGCTCACATACATATGCCATATCAGCGGAGCATCTATCAGAGGAGTTCTGGCTGACGTGCACTGATCACAGAGCCATAAGGACTCAGACAAAGCTGACAATATAACTCCAGTCTGCGTGCTCACAAATGTCCCATTAAATATTCTACAGTCACCTTTTGACCTCTTTCTAGATACCTTCAGGCAAACCAATCCATTTCAAGCTAGGTCATTTTCTAATGATAAGAATCAGTCAGGAAAATAATTATTTAAAGAGTAGTAAAAGTGACAGGAAGAAAAAATAATCAACAAAATCTTAGATTTAGAATAAAAACAAAGTACTGTGATTTATCTTGGCAATGCTTTTAATTACTGACAGCAAAGATTAGCCATTTTTCTTTGCCAATTTTTCCCCTACTATTCTTCCCTTCTCGTACTTCTCTTCTGAAGGTATTCTGACTCATTTTTCTCTCTTGAATTCAAGACCAAAAATAATAGTAATTATCCTTGTATTTGATATAGCACCTCATCACGTCTTCAAGATGTCCCAAAGCACTTCACAAGATAATAATACTAATCCTTGCATTTGCTATAACGCCTTATCACATGTTTGAGACGTCTCAAAGTGCTTGACAGAATATACTGCAAAGTGAATTGACTGTATATTTTGTGGGTGAAACACGGCAGCCAATTGCACACAGCAGTGTGCCACAAACAATCGTGGAGTGAGTGACCAAATTATTACTGTTTAAAAATCTTTTTTTTTTGTTGCAATTTCGTGTCCTGCATCGAGCCAGCGCTGCTCTATTTTTCATATAATTAATTCCTCACTCAACACTTCCTCTGCTCCTAAATCTCACTGTAGTTAAGATCCCACTGATGCTTAGACCATCTATTACCTTGTTCATTGCAAGCTCAGGTAGTAAGTGCTGGTAGAATGTCCGGTCACAGTGAGGCAAGGGAGAGATTGCTATGGGCTGCTTGCTATGGAGTGAGTTGAGTTCAGAGTTAGCAGACTTGCATGAAAACCCTAACCACCTGTTTTAACTTCTTCTGAAGCTCTGAGCACCAGCTTGGAATACTCAAATTTTCCATACTGCTTCCCATTAGATTTCCATGTGCACTTAATAATCTAAAATTGAGCTACAGGTGATGGCAGTAACAGACCCAGTTAAATTCTAAAAATCTGTTTTTGCCCTTGTTTTTTCTCCTCAGGCACATGTTACAGACAGTGTTGATTCACGCCCCTGTTAAAGTTCACTATTTTCCCTCTTGTTAGCCATGGAGGGAAAAGTTTCAGTTTCAGATGGTTCTCAGTTCAACCCCATTCCACAGTCTAGGCAGAGACTCCAGCAGCAACAACAGCAACAACAAATTGCATTTGTATAGTCCTTTTCACTTCAGAGGGACGTACCAAAGTGCTGGCCAATCAGGGATTTTCACCTGAGCTGGTGGTTGAGATCAGAAGGGCTGGAGGACAGGGAGTGTAGCGGTAGGAGGGTGACCAAAGGCGCGGTCAAAGAGGGAGGTTTTGAGATGGGTCTTGAAGGAGGCAAGGGAGTGGGCAAGGTGAAGGGACTGTGGGATACAGTTCCATTCAACAACAACAACTTGCATTTACATAGTGCCCTTCATGTGGGATAATGTCTCAGATCTTCACAGAGATGATGTCAGTTGCTGAGCAAAGAAGGAGGGGAAGATGACCATAGGCAAAGCCGAAGTGGTTGGATTTTAGGCAGGATTTAAGACAAATAGAGAAGTGGTCAGAGGAGCAGAGGGAGGGACTTCTAAAGGTTAGAGGTGTCATTGCAGAAAGTTTGGCCACCGATGGTGGGAGTGAGGATCTGGGGACATGCAACAGTGGATGGTGAAACTAGGGAGATCGGTGAGGATTATATTTGTAAAATCAGGTCAGCGTTCTTCCAAAAATGAAGGGAATCTCTCCCTTTGTCCTTGCTAACAAACCTCCAGACAATTCTCCAGAACTCTGATATAAACAAGCAGAGGTTCTAGATAGGCTCAAGGGACATACGATGACGGATACCTAGGGTCTTTGAAAGTCAAGGAAAGAGTGTTGCACTGACAAATAATATAAGGAAGTCAATGATGACTAGGAAGGTTCCAATGGATCAGAAATATGAAAATATAGTTCCCATATACAAGAAAGGTGACAGAACTAGACCGGACAAATAGAGACGCATTATCCAATTCCATAATTGGAAAACTGATGGAATCTATCATCAGACAAAAAACAGAAGATCATTTGAATATAAATATAATCTAATAAATGACAGCCAGCTTCAGAAAGTAACTGTTGAATCAAAGGAGACAGCAAAGGTCTTAAAAAGAGATCTTATCTGATCAACCTCAGCGATATTTTGGAGTGATATCCCAAAACTGACTGTGGGAAGCCATATGATGTAGCGTGCATAGACTTCCAAAAGATGTTTGACAAGGTATCACATGACAGATGTCTTCACCAACTGAAATAATTGAGTATCAAGGGCAAGACATGGACAACATTTCAAATTTGGTTGGAAGGAAGTAGACAGTCATTATTAGGGAATCTAGGTCAAAATGAGGTGACATATTAAGTGGAGTGCCTCAGGGGTCTGTACTGTGATGTTCCTTGTGTATATTAATAACTTGGATTCACAGATCTAGCTTAAGGTAATTAAATTTGCAGACGCACCAAGATCAGAGAACAGTTGAACCAAAGGAGACAGCAACGGTAATACAAAAAGAGCTTGATAGGGTATGCATATGAGCTGATGACTGGTAAATTAAATTCAATACAGATTAATGCAAAGCACTACATATAGGAAGTAAGCATAAGAAATGCAAGTACTCCATGGATTGGATAGACCTTGCCAAGAAGAAAGCTAAAAGAGGTCTAAGAGTATTCATTCACTCATTACTAACCATATCAAAACAGTATGAGGCAGTAATAGCCAAGACAAGCAGGATGCTGGGCTATACTGCCAAATCAACTGAGTTCAGATCCCAAGACGTCACACTCAAGCTTTATAGTGCTTTGGTCAGGCCACATCTAGAGTTCGTCCTCCCGACGTGAAATGCACTATGCAAATGTAATTATGTTGTTGTTGTTGTACTGCATACGGTCTGGATGCTGTGATATGGGTGGGGAGAGGGAGCTACCCAGAACCTAGATAGTGCAGAGGAGAGCAACAAGGATGCTCCCTCGTTTTAGAGTAATGAGCTATGAGCAATGACAAGACAAGCTAGGACTCTTCAGTCTTGAACGAAGACCTTGCAGAGGTATATAAGATTTCAAAAATGATTGAGACAGTAAACTTAGAAATAATCATTTAAGAAATTACTCTCATCCCCGTTCCTGATTTTCCTGTGAAGCGCTTTGAGATATCTCGAAGATGTGTTAAGGTGCTATATCAAATGCAAGGATTATTATTATTATAATGGATAATCACATTATAAAGATAGAGCAAAAAAAATTGTTGTTTTCATCTTTTCGATTAATCTGGTGCAGACTTTCTGAATTTATTATACTGAGACACAGTTGACAATAGCTATTGTAATTCCAGGCACAGATTTCTAGATTCAGGGCCAGCAACCCTTATGAGCTGCTCTTGTGGAAGCCAATAAGATTTGGAACCGCAGGAACAAAAGATGCTTTTCTTTTCTTTCCAGCATATTTCCAAAACAACTACAATATTGGCTTTCCAGAACACAGATGTATTGACAGTGATAGGGTATGCCTAACTATCCCTGTAGATTTATAATTTATTAGGTTCTCCAGTCAGTTTCACTCACTTGGCCCCACCAACACAACTCAGATGTGATAGGAATAATAATAATAATAATCCTTGTTTTCATATAATACCTTATCACATGGTTGAGATAACAAAACAACATCAACTTGCATTTATATAGCGCCCTTCATGCGGGTCAGTGTCTCGGAGTGCTTAGATTACTCAAAGTGATTCAGAGGACTTACTATAATGTGCGGTGACTGTATATTTTGTCGGCAAATTCAGCAGCCAATTTGCACAAAGCAATATAATAATTGGAAAACAAAAGAACTAGGAATTGCTGGGCTTGATTCAAAAGATTGTTGGTTCAAAATTTCGCAGTCGGGCTTTGAATTTAGATAATCTAAGATAACACTCCAATACTGTGCTGGGGGAGCGTTGCATTATCAGAGGTGCCATCCTATGGGAGTATTCAAATAGCAGAGAGAGATTTTTCCAGTGTCCTGGCCAACAATCCCCCAGATAAAATTTGTCATTCACATCATAGCCATATGTGAGACATTGCTGTGTACAAATTGACTGCCACATTCGGCTAAAAAATACACAGTAACAGCACTTTTACAGTAAATTCTGAGAAGTGCTTAGAGATGTTCTCTCGATGCAAAAGGCGCTATTGAAATGCAAGGATTATTTTACTATTAAAAATACCCCAGCCCTTTTGCACATCACAGCTCTCTGTAGTTCAAAATGTTGGCTGGAGTTGCAAAGAATCTAATTTGAGCTTTGCCATTATGCCAATTACTCATTGCGCAACATTAAAATTGGTTAGTGTATATCTCTGGGTGTCTGTTTGCATTTATCCAGACTGGAGATAAACAAGCCATGAAATTCAGGAATTTATAAGATGTACAAATGCTGAGATTCAGGTCTGTGGCTTTGGCTTGAGATTCAGATGCAGTTTGGGATGGTCAGATCCAAATAGCTCAGGGACCTGATTCTCATGATCTAGATTTTGATTGAGTGGCACTGAGCCAATTGAGGAAATGTGGTTAGGATTAGAATTTGGCATAAATATGCTTGTATCTTGACCTTTATCTGCTCATCTGTAATGCAATTGGAGGGACATCTCAAAGCGCATCACAGGATTTACTGTAAATTCTAGCATCTGTGTATTTTGTAGGTGAATTTTTAATGGTTTATGGCGTCATCCTGCCCGATTATTGGGATCTCCCACTCGCTTCACCAACTCAGACCTGCTGCACATTGCTCTGTCCCACCAATAAAGGCTGAAATTTCAGTCACTAGAACTCTCTCTCCAAATCTCTCTGCCTTGCTCCCTCCCTATTTGCTCTCGGAACCCTCTTGAGGACCTATCTCATTGAATCATCTCTAAGACACTGCAAGTCAAAGCCCTAATGGTTAGGGTGATCCTAGCTGGACAACTAGTGGAAAGCTTTCGAGACTAGGCTCTCAATGACAAGTTTTGGAGTTTCGGCTGGTTAAACTCCAGCAGTACCCCAATGTACACTCTGGCATCCCCCAAGCTCTTGCCAATCTGCGCCTACTAATCCCCAGGATTAGGTAAACAGGGTGCACCTCTCCAGAAACAGAGTGTGCATCCCATTTCAGACCAAGAAATTTCCATATGTACGTAACATAAATATAATTCTCAGGCTGACAAAAAAAAACTTTGTACTTTTGGTCATCTCCCTCTATCCTCTCGCCATCTCCATTGCTGCTTGGCTTCCCTTTCTATTTTTAGAAAGCGCTTTGAGATGTTAATCTATGGGAAAACCTCAAGATAGTCTAAGCTGTTGCTGCACGGGCCAAAGCTGTGGTCATTAGGATTTTAGATTGTGGTACTTATTTCGCAAGCGCTCTCTGTGAAGTGAGTAAAGATGAGGACTCAAATAAATTTTCATTTGATGTCAGCACGATTGAAATCATTGCTTTCAGCCAGGTTTTATCTGCGCTCTATCTCTGAGCTGAGCTGACAAGTCTGCCAAATTGCACGGTGACCCCTGAAGTCCTCTTTTAAAATGGAAATTCATTATCACCTCGGTGATATTGATTGTCATTTGGATTTGTGAGGTGTGACAATCAATGAGAGATAATATCTAGTAGCTAGAAAAGGCCACGGCTGTGTATTGGTGTAATTAATCTCTCAGGTTTGATGTGCCCGGCATTTGTGTTTTTTCTGAGAGTTGAATCCACGTACTGTCTAATGTGGACGGTGACCTTGTTGCAATGAGCTCTTCCTCCAGCGTGCCCTTCTCTGTTTCCATATGTGGGACTGAAGCCTGATCTGTATCTAGAAGATAAAGGTTATATGGTGAATGTTAATGATCAAACGGGTGTTTACATATTTATATATACTCATCTATATCCCCTTGTGTTGTGTGGTATATTACTTGGCTGGTTTGTAATGCCCCTTACCACAGGTTAAAAGCACGGCTACACTTACTGTGATACAGAAACCAGCCACAAAGGCAAAGATGCACGCAATTACTAAATCATGCAATCCTGCTTAAGATCCCTTGACCTTGATATTATAATAATAATCCTTACATTTGGTATAGCACCTTCAATTTAGACATATCAATGCACTTCACAGGATATACTGTAAAATGCAATGACTGGTTTTGGTGGACATACTTATAATAATAATCCTTGCATTTGATACAATGCTATTCGGGTCAGGAGGATGTCTCAAAGTGCTTCACATGATATACTGATAAGTGTATTGACTGTAATTTGCAGGTAAATGCAACAACCAATTTGCACACAGCAAGGTCCCACAAATACCCAAGATGTGAATGATCAATTATATCGAGACGATACAAGCTATCTGTTGCCAGAACTTTCCTTTGTTACAGTAAATGATCATTGAAGTGTCACTTACTGAAACACAGTTCACGGTTTAGCATATGTTGGTACACCTCGCATAAGGATTGCTCTTCTTTCCGAACCCCACTGCAGGTACATTCCATCTGAAGAAGAGTGCCACGGGTATCTACGTAGGCTGTTTTACACTCATCAGAGGCAGAACAGGTTAATCCTCTCCAGCTTATCTCTGAAAGGCAGTCCTTATCATGGTGGCATATTCTTCTCACTCGTTCCCAACACTTAGCTTGAAAGACTTCATATCTTGTCCTGGGGAGAAATTATATCATATCATTTTCAGTGCAATGGAATAAAATGCAAATTTACATTCATGTATTGCCTTTCTTGTCGGAAGGACATTCCAAAGCACTTAGCAATATTGGCTAGCCACCAAAGATGGGGGTGGGAGCTGAGGGTGGTGCGGAGGGAAAAGATGAACAAAATCACAGCAAAAGAGGCATGTCTTGAGACGGACCTTAAAGAAAATTCTTTAACTGAAGCTTCAAAGACAATATCACCCACAAAACACACAGTAATTACACATCATAGCATATCCTCTGAAGCCCCTGTGAAGTCTTCTAGACTTCATCCTTGCATCATGTTGACAATCATAGGTTTTGACTGGGTTGGCTATCCCAACAAACTATTTACCATTATCTCCAACCATGTTTGAAACTTCTCAAAAATAACTCATTTTACCTTTTAACTGTTTGGTTTGGCACATGTATTACCAGTAGCCAAATACAGCTGAAATAGTGGTGAATAAAACTGTTTTATGTTTGGCTATTCTTGCATTGTGTAAAAAAATGTTTTCTACATGAAAGGAGTTATATCAACTATAAAGATTATTAATACATCTTCATCGGCTTGACCCTTTCGTGAAGATGTGGCACCAGAAAGATCAGTGAACATTCCTTCAAAGTTGTTTTGTGGCATCTCACACTCAGATAGGGGTGAGGGAATAGACCATTTAAGTTTAACTACTTTATGCAGAAGGTGGTTGAAAACAACAACTTGCATTTATATAGCACCTTTCACAGTAAATCCTGCGAAGCGCTTTGAGACGTCTCGACAACGTGAAAAGCACTATATCAAATGCAAGGATTATTATTATTGTCATATAGTGCCCTTTACATGGGTAGTGTCTCAGAGCACTTGAAGGTTAACATATCAGTTTGCCAAGGGAGAGATGAATGGGAGAGTGTGGGTGAATTGTATCCCTGTGATCATGAGAATAGAACTATTTAGATGGACCTTCGGAGGTCTTTTCCAGTCATAGAAACAAAGGAATATAGAAACAGGAGTAAGCCATTCAACCCCTCCATCCTGTTCCACCATTCTGTTAGATCATGGCTGATCTGTACCTCAATTCTACTGACCTGCCATTCTCCATATCCCTTGATATCCTTACCTAACAAATATCTGTCAACCTCAGACTTGAAAATTATTCCTGACCAAGCATCCACAGTCTTTGGGAGAGAATTCCAGATTTCTGCAACCCTTTGTGTGAAAAGTTCTGTATATTCATAAGTTCCTGTGTAAAGGTCATCTTAATGCTCTCCTTGAGAACATTAACCTCTCCTTACTCATCTGCTTTACTTGTCTCTGCTTCCCTGGAAATAATAACCTTTACATTTGATATAATGCCTTTCATATCAGTTGATGCCTGAAAGTTCTCCACAGGATTCCCTGTATAGTGTCTATATATTTTGTAGGCTAACACAATAGACAATTTGCACAGCAAATGTCCATCAAATAACCTTGAAGTGAATGACTCATGTTATCTGGAGAATTGTTGGCCAAGACACTGAGAAATTCCCTTCACTTTTCAGATATTGCAATTAGATCTTTAACACCCATCTAAGTAGGCAGTCAGCACATTGGTATACCATCTCCTCTGAAGAATGTCACATCCTCTGAACAATGTAGCACTCCCCAACATTGCACCAGACTGTCAGTCTAGACTGAGTTCTAACTCCCGACATTGGACTTGAATCCACAATCTTCTGACTCAGATGTGAACGTGCTACCAACTGAACTAGGCTGGCACCTAAATAGTTCTGACAAGTGGGAAGTAAGAAACTTGATGACAAATCACAAGAAGGGATCAACATACATTTATCTGCAGAACAATTTCCCTACTGATGATTATTTTAATGCTACGGAAACCAAAATTACAGCAGCGGCCTCTTGACACTGGATCTCAATAACAATCCTTGTATTGGACATAGTGTCTATAATGTTGAACTATCTCAAAGCACTTCATAGAACTTATTGTTAATGACTCATGTTAATGACAGTATATTGTAGGCAAACACAGCAGTTAATTAATGACCAGCAATACCCCTCAAGCCAGCCACAACAACAACAACAAAATGACATTTATAGACCGCCTTTCACATCGGGAGGACGTTGGACAGTCAGGGGCCGTGACCCAAGCATGGGGAAGAGGTGCAGTAGCGGTGAGGGAAAGGAGAGAGGTGGGAGGGCGACCGAAGGCACAATCGAAGAGAAGGGTCTTGAGACCGGCTTTGAAGAAGGCAAGGGAGGAAGCGAGGTGAAGGGACCGTGGGATGGAGTTCCAGAGTGTTGGAGCAAAGAGGCTGAAAGCCCGGCCACCGATGGTAGGGCGGATCGGGCAGGAGGCATGGAGCAGGCCGGAGCCCGCTGAACGGAGGGATGGGCAGGTTGGTAGGGAGTCAGCAGGTCAGAGAGGTAGGATGGCCCTGAAAGTGAGGACGAGGATCTTGAACTCAATCCTCTGAGGGATGGGGAGCCAGTGGAGTCAGGCGAGGGTGGGAGTGATGGGGTCACGCAGCCTGGTGCGTGAGAGTACATGAGCTGCAGTGCCACAAGCTGAATGATCAATTATTTGAAGAATTGTTGTTAGGGACACCAGATGCAATTCTTTTCTCTTCAAATAGTACCCTGGGGTCTTTAACATGCACCTGAATAGATAAACTGGACCTCAGCTTAATGCCTCAACCAAAGTAGCTTAAGGCACCTCTGAGAATGCAGTGCTCCCCCAGCACTGCAGTGAAGTATTGGCCTAGAATATGATCATTGTGAAGTTGGACAGTTGTGATTGGTAGGGTAAGCTCTACGATTGGATCTGCGCCTTCCTCAGAGGACACACACACAGAGTCTTGATAACTGGACCTTTATGCTCTTATCATAACATCAGAGCAGGAGCCTCTCAGGAAGAATACCTGGGCTCACTTTGGTCTTTGCTTCATAAATGACCTGTTGGAAGCCACCATGGTGCAGACAGTGCCTAGCTCTACCCCTACTACCCACCCCTACATCCTCAGTAAAATCATGTGTTTTTATATGTTCTTCTGCAATCCCCTTACTTTAGAAGCTACTGTAAGTAATGTAATATATCATCAGCAACAGAATCAAATTATCATCAACAAACAAATCAACAACAACAAATCAAAATCAAATCAAATCATAACCGTTTGCCAGGTGGTCAATGGTGCACAATAGGCCATTTAATAAATCCCTGACCATGTGTATGTATATTTTACAACCCCCTCGTTGTCTCCCATAATTCAGGGTTAAACAATACTTGCAGGAAAATGGATATCAGAGGGGCTTTCAGCATTGTATCTTTGCTGGAAAATTAGTTTCTGTCCAAGAAGATTTATTTGTTATAAAAGCTTCAGAGAATTCAAGCAACATGCAATTTGTCTGAGGCTTGAAACCCATAATGGACTCTGCTTCTACCACCTTACTTGGCAGGGCATTCCACATTCCAGCAACCTTCTGAATGAAACAAGATTGCCTAACATTGCCTTTCACTGTCCTTGTAATTATCTTATATCTATGATGGAAATAATATTTTCCTATGTACCGTATTGAAACTTTATGACTTCCTCTTAGCCACAGCTGAAGCAGAATTAGCACAGGTGCAGAAGTATTTTAACCATTTTGATGGGGAAGAAATATAATAAAATAATATAAAAATCCTTGCATTTGACAAAGTGCTTTTGTCGGGATGTCTCAAAGCTCTTCACACGATATACTGCAAAGTGGATTGACTGTGTATTTTGTGGACAAAATATGTGCAGCATGGGAAGGAAAATTATCTTAGATATAATCAGTATGAGCAGACTGTCTATCCAACTCCAGGACATACTGTCTACAATTTACTGTCTGTTCATTGAGTTGTAGAATTATTCAGCAAAGAAGCCGATAGTTTGGCCCATAGTGTATGAGCTGGCTATCTGAAACAACTGTCTGCTTAGCCACACACGTCCTTGATAATAACAATAATCCTTGCATTTGATATAGTGCCTTATCACATCTTCAAGCCGTCATAATAATCCTTGCATTTGACATAGAATATACTGTAAAGTGAATTGGTATATTTTATGGGCGAAACACGGCGGCCAATTGCGCACAGCAATGTCCCACAAACAGTTGTGGATTGAGTGACCAATCATTATTTATTTATTTTTGCAGGTATTATTACTCCCAGAAAAGCGATCCACCAATCAACTAACAACCGGGTTCCTACTTTCGGCTGGGTGAACAGATGCATCTGAAGTAAGAAAACTTGCCTAATGTTTCGCCCTGCACGGAATCAAACACAGATCCTCTTGCTTGTGAGGCGAGCGTTCTAACAAATACCCTGCAGGACTGTCTTTGCCTTTCATTAAAAAATAATTCCCTTTTAAAAACTATTTTAAAAGGATTTATTGTCATTAATTCTATGTCTCCCTGTATCTAAAAAATATCTCCTAAACTGTTTTCTATTTGGTAATGATCCACGGGGCATATTAATCCAGTAGTAGGTGCCTTCCGGAGCTGGGGGTAAGTACAATATTGGTTGTGCTGACAAATTGTCAATGCTGGGGAGCAGATTACTTTCACGCCTTCCACGTCCTCCCGACGTGAAAGGCGCTCTATAAATGGAATCTTGTTGTTGTTGTTGTTGTTGACAGGCTGGGTGAAGTCGCACCCAAATTGGAGGAATGGACCATGTGAGCCTATAGTTTAGGCTGACACTCCATTGCAGTATTGGGGGTTTACTGAATTGTCAGAGGTGCCGTTTTTCAGATGAGATATTAAACAAAGCTTCTGTCTGTCTGCTCAGGTAGACCTCAAAGATGCCATAGTGCTACTTGAAAAGAGAAGGGAATCCCTCCTGGTGTCCTGACCAACAATCCTCCAGATAAAATTTGTCATTCACTTCATGGAACATTGCTGTTCACTAAAGAACTGCTGGGATCACCCACAAAATACACAGTAACTACACTTTACAGTAAATCCTGTGAAGTGCCTGAAATGTTTCAACGACCGTACTAAGACGCCATATCAAATGTAATGAATGGTGTTTACTATTATTCCATAGCAGTGAACAACAGCAACAACTTAAATTCATATCATGCCCTTCACACAGGAGAGTGACTCAGAGCGCTGTATAGTGGCAGATTGGATGGAGAGCAAGGGAGAAAGAGGAGGTGACAATAGAAGTGGTTGAAGAGGTAGGACCTGGTTGAATGAAGAACACACAAATTGGATTGAGGAAAAAAACGGAAGCCAAGGAAAAATGTACACTCGATCCTGATTAATGCTGGGCCAGTTATCAAAATGCTTTGAGAAACTGTTAGTTAGATTTCAACTGGAGGAAGAGATCCAAATTTTTTTTTCCAAAATACACATTTGGTATCATTAACAGGGTAGGAAAATGTATTAACAGGCCACAGAGGCTCAGGTGCAGCAGACAAACAGAGGAAGGAAGAGTGAAGGAATGAGATGGAGACATTTATTTCCGAGCTGATGGACTGCTCTGTTTTTCAGCTCACTGGAGATGGAATGCCACGTGGCGTTTACTGCAGAAAAGGATCGGGAGGTGGAAGTGGAATCATGACAAATGCAACAACTCGCATTTACATTGCACCCTTCATGTAAAATGAACATAAAAACAGAAGAATTGCTAGATGAAAAAAGACCAAAGTCCATCCAGTTCGCTTTCCACCATCCTGGCAGTCACATGCACATGTCGTGTCCCAAACTATATACTGTATCGAACAATATTATTTTCTAAAAGAAATCTATCCAATTTGTTTTTGAAAGAATCAACACTTTCTGTTTTAGTTTTCTTAGGGAACCTGTTCCATACATTTACTATTCGGTCAATTGACTGAACGTTGACTGCTGCATTCCTGTGCAAAATACAATCACTACACATCACAACAACAACAACAACAACAAGATTCCATTTATAGAGCGCCTTTCATGTCGGGAGGACGTCCCAAAGCGCTGTACAGTTGGGTCAGGACCTGAGCAGGGGGAAATGGTCAGGGTGAGGGGAGGGAAGGGAGGGTGCGAGGAGGGGGTAGAGAGTTGAGAGGGGAGCTGAAGGCATGGTCGCAGGAAACTTTGAGACATTTTGACATTATACCAATGCAAGATATTTAAAAAAAAATTTCAAAGGCTCTACTAACCTGCAGACTTCATCGCTGAGACACCTTTCAGTAAGGTACAAACATGTGGGTTTTGGATCCATGCGATTTGCACAGGAGTTGTTGTGAAGGATTTCCTTTGCTTGAAGGCAAAGCTCATCGGATGGATGGCACCTGCAGAACACCAACATCTGGGCAAGGTCTGGCGGGATCTCCAGGTAGAAGGATCGAATTGCACTGTGACAGTCATCGAGGTTGCATTGATTAAGAGAGTTAGGGCACACTTGTTTTTGTGGAGTGAAGTGCTTGTTGCAAATGTCCTGATCCTTCATGCAAAGCTCGGTTACTTTCAAACAGGACGGGGAGCTTTGGTTGCCTGAAGGAAAACAGAATATCATCAGAAAGGTCAGAAGCTACAGGCCAAAGAGCTACATTGTAAACTTCAATACAGGACAAAGGTCAGGATGTTATTGGCAGTAGTTTGCAGCTTCAAGGCACCAGCTCCCATCTGGCTCCTGTTAACCCTGCAAGCCAAAGCCCTAAGGGGCAGGATGATCCTAACTGGACAAGTGATATTACCAGCAGAAGCTGGGCATACAGTAATTCCACTTAGTGCAGGCCCACAATTAACCCCACAATAAGCAAGGCAGCAATATAATGAACAACAACAACAATAACTTGGAGTACTTCACAATGGTGGGGTTGGATGCCAAACTTGGAGGAAGGAGAGAGGAGGTGACCAAAAGTGCAGTTGAAGAGATGGGTTATAAGGTGGGTTTGAAGATAGCTAGAGAGGACGTGAGGTTGAGGAATAGAGTTAGGAAGTTCCAAAGAGGTTGGGGCATAATAACTGAAGACATGACCACAAATGGTCCATGGAGGGTCAGGGAACATGCAGCAGGCCTGTAATAGCTGAACATAGGGGGCTTAGGGAATTAAGGGTGTTATGATGGAGTTCGCCTGTTTAGTTGATCAGAAATCAAGTGAATGTTGTTTTAAAGGCAAATTGTGACAGCCAGTCTATGCCAGTGACATCCCGTAAACAATAATGAGATGAACAATTATGGTTTAGGCAACATGGCTTTTATCACAGTTAGTGTTTCACTGGAGAAAGGGATATTCTGTTAGTGATTGTGTTTTCAACCTCTTAAAAGAGAGAAGATATTTGTGATTCATAATTATAGACCTTACAGAATTCTACTGAATTGAAATTGTGAATTACCCTTTCCCATCTTTGAATAATCTTGCCCCATTAGCAACATTCTACACATAACCATTCCTGCCTCTTGCATTATATGTAATAATACTCCTTGCATTTGATGTAGCCCTGGATTACATCATCTCAAAGCACTTCATATATTCTGAAATTATGTGACTATGTGTATTTTGTGCGGGAAGTATGACTATAATGTGTTTGGCGTTTGCTGTTTTCCAGGAAAGGAAAATCTTTATTTCCAAACCGCTATTTTCAATGTTACTGCTGAAACAGTAATGGTTTCATCAGGTCCCTTTAAGACCACTTTCAGCCTTGAAAGAGGTACCGAAGATTTGACCTCGCAAATGGACAAGGTGCTCAGTGGAAAATGGGAAATAAATCAGGTCAATATTAGGAATGAGTAAAGGCAGTAGGACAAGAGGACAAGAGATCATGGGCTTCGGGGCTGTGAAGGATATGTTTTGGTTGGAGAGTTGTTATTACTGCATCACACAAAGGGTAATCTAAAATTAGTTAATAATAATAACCTTGGAGTTGATATAGAGTCTTATGTCATTTACATACATATCCATCTGCCTCTTCCCCCTTTCTCGCTCAATATCTGATCCTGCCCTTGTAAAGTTACCCTAGAGGTTATCCTACATCATGGGCTCCATATAAATGCAGTTACACCACTTTACAGTGTGTCCTGTGAAGAGCTTTGAGAGTTCTGTAGCTAAGTGATTAGAGCACTTACCTCACTAACGAGAGGACCTGGGTTCGATTCCCGACAGGGCGAAACGTTAGGCAAGTTTCCTTATTCCACACATCTCTGTTTACCTAGCAGTAAGTAGGAACCCGGTTGTTAGTCGATTGACAGATCGCTTTTCTGTGGGTAATAATTCCTTCAAAATATATTTTTTAAAATAATTTAATCACTCAATTCACAACTGTTTGTGGGACCCTGCTGTGTGCAATTGGCTGCTGCATTTCACCCACAAAATATACAGTCAATTCACTTTACAGTATATTCTGTGAAGCGCTTTGAGATGTCTCAAAGACTTAATAAGACACTATATAAAATGCAAGGATTATTATTAATAGTATCTCAATAACTGGGAGGACAAATTTGCAGAGCTATGGGGAGAGAGTGGAAGAGTGGGATTGAATTGGATAGCTCTTTTCAAAGAGCCGGTACAGACACGATGGGCCAAATGGCCTCCTTCTGTACTGCATAATTCTATGATTCTATGAACGTGATCAAATGCTGCTACTATTATTACTAATTGTGTGATGAGATGATGTGTATATTGAGCTGTTTCAATGCTACTCTGCGGTCAGCCACAAGGAGGTGGTCACAGACAGGCGCAATACGCTGAAGGCTGCGGTTTCTCACCCTCTCTGCTGGCACGCACCAAGCTTTTTGCTGTGTGGGGAGTCTTGGACATGAAACCATATGCTGAAAGCACATCTTCACGTGCCAAAATAATAAAAATAAGAGAAAAATGTGTCATAAATATGATTGGACACGTTTCACAATCTCTGAACTCTCAGCTGAAAAATGTGGGAAGGATTTAGTGCATAATTTGAACCCCAAAAAGCTGAAGGAAAATTATTTTTGGTCAACTGGGGTGTCCAACACATGTGGAGACCCATTACTGTGCTTAAAGATTATACAAACCAGACAGAGAGTTCCATGCATTCTTCTTACACATGGAGATAATAATAATAGTAATAATCCTTGCACTTGATATAGCGCTTTGTCACATCATTGAGACGTCTCAAAGTGCTTCACAGTATATAATCTAAAATCAATTGACTGTATATTTTATGGGAAAATCATGGCAACCAATTGCGCAAAGCAGTGTTCCACAAACAACTGTGGATTGAGTGTCCAATTTATTGATTTATTTTTGAAGGGATTCCAGTTTTCTAATTGATACACTGCAGGGCTCCACACGACTCCATGAGATTTCCCTGTGTCTGCAATCAAATGCACACTCTCTCCCTGGAGGGATGCTCCCTGCCTAAACTCAGAGAGTATAAGGCACAGGTTGGCGAGACCCAAGCATGGGGAGCCACAGTGTATGTTAGAGTACAATCTACACTGAAGCACTTGGGATTTTTATTCTGTGGGCGAGAATTAGTGGGGGAGATCTGAAGTCGCAGCACTGAGAAGATGGTTGAGAAACTGATGTGATTAGAGAGTGTTAGCTTCATGATTAGATTTATTGTAGCCTCTGAGATCTAATCTTTCTCATTCGCCATCTGAATGTTGCTGCTGGGCAGATTGTTTTAATTTCAATCTCAAGCGCTGTCTCTTTCCTTCATTCACTCCCATCAGTCACCAGTTTCTGCAGTGTCTCTGTTGTTCTTATATAACTGACTGTTACACATATTTATGTGTGTGTGGTGTGTGTGGGGTGGGAGGTGGCGGGGAGGTATATGGTTGCTCATGGGTGGGTATATGTTCCTCTATCTGTCTGTATCCGTGTCTGTATCTCTCCTCTCTCTGGCTCTGGCACTATCTCTTTCTTATTCTCTCTCTTTGATTATGTTTTTCTCACTTCTCCTCTCTGTCTCTCTCTCTCTCTCTGCTAGTATCACTGTCCAGCACCTTGGGAAGTCCTCCCGACGTGAAAGGCACTATATAAATGTAATTTGTTATTGTTGTTTTTCCTGTAATTATGTGTGTCTATCTCTCTCTCATATGTTCTGTTTCTTTCTCACTCTCTTCCTGGATCTGTCTGTATTTCTCTCTCTCTCTCTATATATATATATTGTTTTTGTTCCTCTTGCAACATATGTGTGGGATTCTCTGTCCGTGTATATTTCTCCTATATCAGTGGTGTCTTTCTCCCCCTTTATCTGAGTATTTCTCTCTATCTGTATATGTGTGTGTGTCTCGCTCTCTTTCTCTCTTTCTGTATATGTATGTGTATGTCTCTCGGGAGAGAATGCACATTCCATTACAGACACAAGGACATTTCCATGTGTAGATGTAATACATATGTAGAACTCAATGACCGGTTTGGATACCCTTCAGTATGGCAATGGGTTTTTGCATTTTCAGACATCCAGCTAACCAAAATAACCACAATTTGTGTATGTGTATCTCTCACTCTCTTTCTCTGTATGTGGGATGTGTATGTTTTGAGTGTTGTTCACCTCTATTATGATGATGATAATAATCTTTACATTTGATATAGTACCATATCACATCTTCTCGACAAATCTCAAAGCATTCCCAGCATATATTGTAAAGTGAATTGACTGTATATTTTTTGTGGGTGAGACATGGCAGCCAATTACACACTACAGCGTTCCACAAACAGTCCTGGATTAAATGAACAATTTTTTTTAAGGGATTATTACCCCCGGAAAGGGATATGCTTGACTAACAACTGGATCCTACTTATTGCTGGGTAAACAGAGGCGTAAGGAAACTTGCCTAAGGTTTCACTTTGCCTGGGAATTAGTTATGAATAGATATAAAATTGCTGTTCAACCTGATGTAATTTACTTTCATTACCATATTTGTTGAGAGCAGACTCTTTTGTGGGTTTTCCTCTCCGCATCCGGTCAAAGATGCCTGGAACAGAAACAACAGTGAAAAACAGGTAGTTAAATCAGTGTCTTGTTCCAAACGCATCAAAACTAAATTCAAAGTGTTACAAAATACAGGTGCCAACTTACTGCTGCCCCAGACGGGATAATTCTCTTTGCTCCCTTCCTCAGTGCGTGTGTTTAGATTCCTCTGTGCTGTTTGCAGGCAAGTATTATTAAAGAGGCTGGTCCATATTCTCAGGCACTTTCGCTTCCCACGTTCCAGACAGACGCAGTTGCCGAGCTTTGTGCTCTGTAGTGCCTGCCAGGCCGTCAGACACTGTTGGCCTCCGGACTCGTTGCTGCAGGTGTCCTTTCTCTTCTTACACATTCTCTTGAAGTTCGTATACATGGAGTTGCATTGAATGGACTTGAGACACTCTTGTCTGGTGTCAAAACAATCGCCATCCCTCTCCCTGTACCCGTTTATATCTGGCAGTCTTAAACGTCGATTCCAGTCAGTCTGTATTTCGGGATTACCAGCAGCCGAGATACCTGGACATACATGAGAGTGTATGCTCAAAACATCAATCACTACCATTATTTGAACATTATCCAGATACTGACGTGAATCAGTAATGCGGTGAAATGGATGATGAATATCACTGATAAACCTGTTTAAGTTATTAATACATAAGGGTCATTGAGGAGTTTTAATGTGACCTGTCTCTACATGGAGCATAGGCTTTTGAAAGGGTAACTACTGGTGGTTCAATATTTACACTTACTTGTGAGACACATTCATATTAATAATCCTTGCATTCGATATAGCGCCTTACCACGTCATTGAGACGTCTCAAAGCGCGTCACAGGATATACTATGAAGTACATTGACTATATTTTTGTGGGCGAAACAAATGAGTAAAACTATAAGGAAGGCAAAACGACAAAACTTATAGTTTGTTTTTAAGAGGATCACATCAATGGAAACCCCTCGATAGGAGCTCCTTAGCCTCTCTGATCCTCTCTGCAGTGTGAATGGCAAGTCTTCGTTGTTTCTTTACTATACATGCTGCTTTACATTGAGTGAGCATTTAGGGCTTTGTCTCTCTACAGATGTTCAATGGTGATGTTCATTATTTTAGGTCGAAGATTATATGGAACATTACAACACTGAAACAGACCATCCGGTCCAACTAATCCCTGCTGGTTATTTATACTGCACATGATCTTCCACTTTTTAATCCCCCAAGCTATACCCCTCTGTTCTTTCTTCTGTAGACCCGCTGATAGAAACCATAATGTTTGGTTTGACAATAATAATCCTTGCATTTCGTTGGAAGGTCGAGGTGGGAGGGATTGCAAAGCACTTCACAGCATTTTACTGTTGAGTGCAGTGACTGCGTTTTTGCCTACATAAGTAACCAATGGAAGAACTGAGTTCCAAATGGGAGACTGGAAACAAAAGGTGAAGCAAAGAATTCAAGTGTTGATATCTATTCAGTTCTGAATCTGCTTGGAAACTCTGTTGAAATGTCACTTTCAGTATCCGGTTACCTGACTTGCTCGAGTGGTCATGAAGAGATGGTTCATGTCTGCATTGCCCTTTGATGATTTGGGGCCTAGAAGAGTTTGGGGGGTGGGTGGGGGGGAATTGGTGCTCGTCTGCCCTCGTTCCCTTAGTGGAATGCATTCGGTCTAATTTGGTTAATCGGGTCACCAGGCCTAACCTCGCTCACCAATAAAAATAGAATATTTTTTTAAAAAATGTCAAGAATCATGTGACTCTGAAATTCGTTCCATTCCCATTTCCCTCAATTTCCAACTTTTAACAAGATGTCTGTTGTTGTCCAGGATACTGGAGACACTCCCTTCTCTTCAAATACAGGATTGTTTATTGTCCACCTGCTGAACAGTCAGAGAGTACGTCGGTTTAACTTTTCACTTGATGCAAATATAGGGTGACCAAAAAATGGTGATATCGACCCTATTATCTAAAAAAATCATAATTTCTTTAAGACTTATTAGATATTGTATTGGTATCACAACTTTTTGGTTGATGTACTTATGTCTTGTTTATATTGCTCCTCTTGACAAACCTCCATGGGATGGGGGCAGTGTGTTTGGGGGGGGTTGGGGATAAGCAGGATTTCCTTGACTTGAGCAGTCTTCAAGGTGACATGCTTGGCAATACTGGTTAGGGTACCCCAACATACACTCTGACTCCCCAAGCCTTGGCTCTTAGACAACCTGTGCCTGATACTCTATGGAATTAGCTAAACAGGGTGCATCCCTCCAGGGAGAGAGTGTGCATTTCATTCCAGATATAAGTATATTTCTATGTGTAGCTGGCCTCCATATGTGGAACTCTCAATCTGGTCTGGATACTGTCAAGCATGGAGATGGGTTTCCGTATGTGTCAGTCATCCGGCTGACCAAAACAAGTTATACTGCTGGAAGCAAAATGATATTGTTTTGAGCGCTAAAATGGAACAGGACGATTTGTGCTTCCTTCTGTTTCTAATTGCAATGGTCGGGAGATCGGATTTCTAAGCAGGTGCAGTACAGAATTCTGATATCTGTGTGTGTCATGTGATCAGTTCTTCAATAACAATAACAAACTAGTCCCTTGAAGGTTCTTGAACTAACTAACTAACCAACCAACCAACCAATTAACTAACTAACAACTAACTATATATGTCTGTTTGTGTATCTGTCTGTCTGTCGATCCGGATGCCCACAGACAAAGTCATAGACTAGATTGTGCAGTACTGAGAAGCACTAAATTGAGGTGACATCTTTCAGATGAGACAATATACCAACGCCCAGTCTGCATATTCAGGTGGATGTTAAAGATCCCTTGAGATGATTTGAAAACTGACATTGTTTCTCTTGCTTTCCTAGCCAACATCCCCACCCCCCAGTAAACACGATCATTCACTTTGTGCCTGTTTGTGGGACATCACTATGTGAAAATTGGCTGCCACATTTCCCTAGAAGGTAACTACATAGAAATGGCCCGTGAAGCCCTTTGAGATGTTTTCATGTAACAGACGCTATATCAAATGCAAAGATTTATATTATTATTAATGATAATGACTGGATTAAGGACTTCAGAGTTTTGAAAAGTTTGAAAAACAAATCAAAAATGTCATCCCTCACTCAGCAGGAAGAAATCTCTTTATGCCATCTGCAACAGACAGACCCTGAACGGTAGCAAAGATGATCCAGGTTTTATTTAAAAATTTAGTTTGAAAAAAAATATCAAATGAAACGTATCCGAGACATTCAACTGAGACTGAAGCAGAGGTTTGAGTTGACACTTGGTATTCTGATGTGGGTCTGATTTCTCTGCTGACAGTTATTAAAACTGATGGAACATTAGACGTTTTGCACATTCCTTAATCCCACCTCATTACAGACTTCTGGTTGTTGAATTACCTCCTTGGCCGGTACACAGTATTCCAAGTTGTCCGAGGAAGTTGCATGATTTGTCTTCCAGGCAGCTGCACTCCCTGAAGGCTGGGTAGCTGTCAGTTAAGTACTGGATGGTTACATTGCAACCGCTGCGATCCTTCACTGTGCAGCTCTCACCTGCAATGTATTAAAGGGATATTATATCTGAATGTAATTGTGAAGCTTGCCAGAACCTAGATGATTTAGCACAGTCCGTATTACTCAAGCATCCATGGTTTCAATTACAGCCTTTGGAACCGTCCCAAACTAGCCAGTGGTTTAAATATTTTACTGTTTCTGTGAAGTTGTCTTGGTGCATCAGAAGAATCTTTCCATATGAAATTTCTCTCGGGGGCTGGTGGGGGAGGGGGGAGGGAGTGAAGATTCAAGGTTTCAAGGTTTGCCTGTTTTTATTTCCTTATGTTACAAACCCTGGAAAGACCCAACAAAAAGTGAGGCAACTTTACCATCGAATCATTAATTTAGTTGCACTTGGGCTATTATCAGACCAACTCACAGGGATTGAGCTGTTATCAGGAGTTCATTTTAACAATATGTGACCTGCTCTCCTCACTGTAATTCAGCTGGGGGCCCCGGACAAAATGTGTATTAATCAGAGCTTTGGAGTAAATGAGTTTATAAAAACAAACTCAACACACATTTATGCAGTCTGAGGTTTTGCTGTGCTTTGGTGGTGTTTATGGACACTGGAGTCAATTCACCACTTTTAGCTTTTTCCTCCATTAAAGTTCCCCCATACTTTATTGCATTCCTTATTCAAGAGAGCTGTCAGACTCCTGGCTAATAACAATGCTCTGTAACAGACTGTGGAGTTACTGAACTTTTAGAAAATGCAGAACATGAGTCTGTGAGTACAAAATGAGGCACACCTCAAACAAGATTTAAGATTAAAGATTTCCCCGTGCATAAAAAGGTTGTGGATGTATATGTGAACTAAACTCACTGGTAAAACACATAAGCCTATGTTGATTGCTGTCTTTAGAACAGAACTTCATGAATAGTGTTTTAGCAACAGGGTTAAGGGTTCTAAAATTAGGCATATATCTAGTCTGGAATTAGGAGTTGTGAGATGCTGGGCCCATGGAAATGTCAATAAAGGAAACTGGTCAATGTGCTGAGAGATCTTGTTAAACTTTCGTTAAGGAATCATTTTTGCAAGGCTCCAGTGTTCAGAAGACTCATCAGAAAGTTAGTGAGGACAATAAAGTCGATGAGTTGAGAATTGATGGGGAAATTTCAAATTGCAGCATAGATTTTACTACCAAACATGTGGTGGGCATGTGTGCATGGATAGCGAGCAAGGGATGGTCTGTGCAGATGGAAGGAGGCAGGCATATATATGTGGGTGGGAATATGGGGAGAGGGCAGCATAAGAACATAAGAAAATAAGAAATGCTCGACCAAAAAAGGCCAAGGTCCATCCAGTTCACCTTCCACCTTCCTGGCGGTCGCATGCAAATATGTAACAAACTACCTATGCACTATATCCCATAATGTTATTTCTTAAAAGAAATCTATCTAATCTGTGTTTGAAAGAATCAACACTTCCTGCTTCAACCATCTCCCTAGGCAGGTTCCACAGGTTCACTATTCGCTCACTGAAATAGTGTTTGCGTAGATTTGTTCTGAATTTACTCCCTTTCAATCACAGGCTATGTTCTCTGGTTTTACTATTCTGGACAAGTTGAAACAGCCTGTCATGATCTATATCTAGCCCCTTTAGATCTTAAAGTCAGCAATCATGTCACCTTTCAATCTTCTTTTTTCCAGCGTGAACATGCCCAATTTACTTAGTCACTCCACATACTCCAGTCCTTCCATTCCCTCAATCATTTTGGTTACCCTCCTCTATATCTTCTAGATTTCTCCAATACCCTTTTTGTACTGAGGCGACCTGAACTGCACACTGTACTCTAAGGATGGTCTCACCAATGATTTATACAATGGCAGGATTTGCAATGGCAAACCACTATTTTGGTTTGCTATTGATCTTTTGATACATCCCAACATCTGGTTTGCTTTACTCACTGCCACAGATCATTGTTGGGAGAGCTTCAATTTATCGTCAATCAGGACCCTCACCCAGGTCCTTTTAATTTTCCATACATATTATTTTCCTTCTGTTCAAATAATAGTCTCTTCCAGGATTTTTTGTCCCCATGTGAAGTACTTTACACTTCTCCACACTGAATTTCATCTGCCACCGATCTGCCCAATTCCCAAGTATATTCAAGTCCTCCTGTAACCTATCTTGTTCAGCTTCACAATCAAACATCTTCATTAGCTTGGTGTCATCTGCAAACATAGCCATTGTTCTTGCAACTCCTAGTTCCAGATCATTTATAAGGCATCTTTACATGTATGGGGAGTGAGAGATGGGCATACATGGATGGGAGATGAGGAGGGGAGGGCACGTGTAAATGGATTGGGAGGGAGAGGCAAGTCAAACATGTGTACATCAATGGGGAGGGAAGGGGAAGGCAAGCATGATTGCGGGTGGGCTGGTGGGCACGTGTACATGGATAGGGAGAGGGTGTTGGGCACGTGTACATGGATAGGTAGGGAGTGTTGGAAACGTGTACATGGATGGGAACAGAGAGCTGTGACTGAGCTGATCCATCTGCCACACAAATGCTGAGCCCATGGGCTGATGTGGAGTGTCTATGGCTTCCAATTTTGTTAGTCTATTCTCAGATGATCCTGAAAACAGAGGGGGTGAATTTCATGGTTACCTCCTGCCACACTTCCATCTCGTGCCCTGCCTGAAAACAGCTGATGCTGCAATACAACACAATTTACAATTGCATAGAGGCTTTCATGTCAAAGAGTTTAACACCACTGGCTGGGCACCCGAGTGGTGGGGTATGTCAGGAGGGGTATGTCAGGTGGGGGGGCGGGGGCAGAGGGGGAGTGGTAAAGGGGAGTTGAAGAGGGTGGGTGTGGGAAAAGATGATCGAAAGCACTGTCAAAAATGTATGTCTTGAGAACGGCTTTGAAAGAGGGGTCGAAGGGGGAGGACAAGACAGTGGGGCTCTTGGATGGAGTTCCAGAGAGCAGAGGCAGAAAGGCTGAAAGCTCGTGGGATGGTGGTGGTGTGGGGAGGGAGTGTGTTTGACAGAGGGAAGGCTGAGGCTCTCTCCTAAGAGTGGTAGGCAGGCTCAGAAACTCCAAACCGGAGCCATCTGGTCGGAGCATGTGTGCGACCATTCATCAGCCAGCGGTTTCGAACCACAACACATAGCAGGAAATGCAGAATAATTCTGCACGTTCATCAAACACGCACATAATAAGCACGTTTGAGACCGATAGCCACAGTCAGCATGGCGTGACTAATCACAGGAGCCCGGGATCGGCACACACGCTCTCATTATCATTCCACTTAATGGCTCTTTTGCTCCAGTTAATTCACTGCATATTCCTCTTGATCAAAGGGAATGCTTTCCGGTCTGCTTTTGAAAGGAACTAGTAATCTTATTCGGCTATCGTAGCTGACTGATTGACAAACACCATCTAACATTGCACCTCACATCGTCATCATGGCTCCGAAACAAACTAGTTAGAAAAACAAATCTGTGAGAGTGCCGGTGGAGCGGTTGAAACAGATGTTCAGAGTAAGTAGTTCAACAGCTCACAAAGCAGGTTCATGACATGAATGACCAGACCTGGTAGTTCAGATGTGCACAGGGTGCGGGAGGAGAGAAACTCCTGTTGAACACAACTCCAGTTATAACCGGTCAATTTTATGGGATTTCTTAAAGGAATCTGTTAATTAAGAAATTCCATTAAGACTCCTTACATCAACTGGCATTCACTCCGGCACAAGAGAACCCCCATCTGAAAATAGATTGCAATGTAGCACCCTTTCCTGTGTCAGGAGCAGGCTATGATGTCTCCACACTGGATTGTGCTGAGGTGTCTCGATGTCTGGGTACACGCATGAAAAGCGTCACTTATGTGAGGTATCAAAGAGCACCTGATCTGCATAAACCTGACCTCATTCAGAGTGAACGCCGGCAGAGAAGAGGAGAATGTAAAGAAAATTTTTGCAAAAAAAAAATAAAGAAGAGAAATGAAGAATATCAACATCAACAAGTTACACTTGTATAGCACCTTTCACGTCAGGAAGACATCCCAAGGTGCTGAACACTCAGGCAAATAACACAGGATGGCACAACCAAGTGGAACAACAAACAACACAATTTGTATTTGTATAGCGCTCTACATGTAGTCACATACAACAAATTTACAATGTCGGAGCACTTAACATTGATGGGGTCAGATAGCAATTAGGGAAGTGGGGAGCGGAAGATAACCCATGGGTGTGGTTGAAGAGGTAGATTTTACGGTGGCACTTGAAGACAGAGAGAGAATGGGGGAGATGGAAGGGGTAGAGAAAGGGAGTTCCAGAGGTTGGGGGCAAAGGATCTGAAACGTTCAGCCGCCAATGGTGGCATGGATGACAGAGGGGATGCGCAGAAATGTGAGCAAACAGAGTGGAGTGAGGTGAGCAGAAAAGGAGGTAGAAGTTGATCAGAAAATTAGAGTTGGTGTTGGGACATGAAAGGTGTTGTAGATGTGGGGAGGAATTTGGAGTCACCCATCCTTGCATCAGATTCAAACAACAACAACAACTTGTATTTATATTGCACCCTTCACACAGGGTAGCGTCCCAGAATGCTCTCAATGGTTTGAGATAGTTCTTCATGTTTCTTCTGTACCCATTCCTGTAAATACTGAGCTCTCAATTCCATAGAACTACATAGACTGTATTACTGCCAAAATGCAACACCTGGCCCAACTAATCCATGCTGGCGTTCCTATTACACACAAGCCTCCAGCCCTCCAATTCTCTTCTCCCTCATGTATGCATCAAGTTATCTCTTAAATGCGTTGATATTTTCTGGTTCAATCATGGCCTCCAGAAGTGAGTTCAACATTCTCACCACTCTCTGTGTAACTAAATTCTTTCTAAACTCTCTTTCAGATCTACTGGTGACTATTATATATTCATGCCCCCTTGTTATAGACGCTCCATCAAGTGGAAACAGCCTATTTATTGAAAATGTGTAATTATTTTGAAGAACTCTATCAGGTCTCAAACTCCTGAAATGGCTCATCTTCAGAGAGACTGAAAGCTCTAACCTGTGCAGTCTTTTTGGTAGTTGTATCCTTTCATCCCTGTTAATGTCCTAATAAACCTATGCTGGACTCTCTCCATGGCCTCAAAAACCTTCTTGCGCCTTTGAAACCACTTTTGAAGCTGGCTCAGGAAATTATCTAAGGACTGATGCAGCCATAAACCTCTCAACACTGATGTTATTGCAACAGACATAATGTTCCATTCTAGCTTATAAAAAGATTGTTATGCAAATCCAGTGAATTGTTGTAAGCTGGTGAATTTTCCGAATGGAAAAGTGCAATGAAATGAGATGCGTCTCTTTTTCCCAGAAATGTCAAGTGCTGCACAGAACGATTTTCTTCATTACTATTGATGTACACTGGGCTTTTGATTCAACTGTCATTTAGGTAGGTTCTCTTAACAACATACCTACCTGTCCTCTCCCTCTGTTCGGCAGGCAAAGGCCTGCTCTATGTTCCTACCCTGCCCGGCCCATCATTGACGGTCGGGCCTTCAGCTGTTCTGCCCCAATCTCTGGAACATTATCTTGGCATCCTTCCGCTTTGCCCCCTCTGTTTCCTCCTTCAAGGCCCAATTCAAGACCATCCTCTTTGACTGTGCCTTCAGTAACACTCCCACACCCACTGCCTCTACCCTCCAACCTTCTTGATTCCTACCCCAGTCTCTGTTTTCGTGTGCACTATCCTGGTGTCCCTTCACTTTACCTCTCCTTCCCTGTCTTTAAAACCTGCCTTAAGACCCATATTTACAACAATGCTTTCGCTCCAATTCCCCTCAAGTATTGAATGACAAACCACCCAATGTGAAAGGCTCTACATTGTTGTTGACTTGTACAAATAATCCACGATTTAACATTTTATTTGACCCTGTCTTCTATTAAACAGTACCTACCTGTCACATTGCAGACATCTTCAATGATATCCCACACTTTCTTACAGCCGGCCGTATCAGAGATACACCAAGCTTTTACTTGGAGGCAATCGATAGCTTTGGTAGCAATGCCAACAGAAATCTGAGAGGTAAAAAATGCTGCGAAAACAATTATTGAAAAAAAACACATTAATAGCTTAATCAAAGTTGATTTCTTTTTTTTTTAACAAAACACTTTGTGTGCAATTGATTTTGTACCAGTTGTAATAATGATACTTGCATTCATATATTAATAATTCTTTGATTTGATATAGTGCCTTATTCATGTCTTGAGTATCTCCGTAGGTGAATGCAGCAGCTAATTTGTACACAACAATGTCCCACAAGCAGTTATGTAGTGAGTGACCAATTTGTCTGGAGATTCCAGCGCCTTGAGACATCCACCCGATGTGAAAGGTGCTTTATAAATGTAATTTGTTGTTGTTGGACAGGACATAGGGACAAATTCCCTTCTCTTCCAGAATAGGGCTATGGGAACTGAATATCCATCTGAACAAGCAGATGGGACCATAATTTTAATATCTCATCTGAATAACGGTTCCTCCAATAATAGAGTGCACCCCCCCACACTGCATTGGGAGAGCAGCCTAGGCCATGTGAGCTTAAAGTCCAAGTGGAGGAAAAATATACAATTTGGGACATGGGTTGTGCATGCGACTGCCAGGATGGTGGAAGGCGAACTGGAACGTCCTCCTGACGTGAAAGGTGCGAAACAAATGTAATTCTGTTGTTGTTGTTGGATAGACCTCGGTCTACTTTTGTCTAGCATTTCTTATGTTCTTACGAATATCACACAACTTAACAAAAACACACAATTTAGCCCATCTAGTCCACTACCTCGTTTCGGTCCATGTAGATGAGGGTACTTAAACCATTTTCATGTCGGTCACAGTACGTCCTGTAGCATACTGATTAGCGTGCTTGTTTCACAAGTGAGAGGACCTGGCTTCAATTTCCAGGCAAGGCGAAACCTTAGGTAAATAGCCTACTCCACACGCCTCTGTTTACCTAGCAGTAACTCGGAACCTGGTTGTTAGTTGATTGACCCATCACTTTCCTGGGGTAATCATCCTTCAAAAAAAAATTGGTCACTCACTCCTCGATTGTTTGTGAGACACTGCTGTGCGCAATTAGCTGCTGAGTTTCTTCCACAAAATACACAGTGAATTCACCTTACAATATGTTCTGTGAAACCTCAATGATGTGATAAGGCGCTATAACAAACAAAGGATTATTATTGCGTACATCCCTGTAGACCCACTGCAATATCGAGCTGTTGGACCAAATAAACGTATGGTATGTTTTGTAGGTGATGTGATGCTTTCTGTTAGGCAATTTACAGCAACATTAATATTAAATATTTAAATACATGTCATCAATATTTAATTCATATTTAATTACTGCAGCAAAAATGGCATGCTGGAAACATTGTGATTTAGGCTTTAATGCATTTGCAGTTTGTATATTATATTATCCACCAATATTTGATAATACTTAACCTTCATTCAGATTTGAAAAATACATTTAATACTAATATAATAATTTAATCATAAATTTTTAATCACTTTTACAGGAACATAACAACAATACAGCTTTCAGTAATCAACAACAGTGACTAGCACTTATATAGAAGCTTTTCTCGCAGGACTTAACCTTTCAAAGCACTTTACAAAGACAGGGTGGTTGCAAGAAAAGGAACATTTGAATAAATGGTTTAGTTCTCAGCCTGACTCAGCACTCTAATAATAATAATCTTTGGATTTGATATAGCACTTTTCACGTCGGGAGGACGTCCCAAAGCGCTTCACAGAATATACTGTAAAGTGAATTGACTGTAAATTTGTGGGCGAACACGGCAGCCAATTGCGCACAGCAATGTCCCACAAACAGTCGTAGATTGAAAATGACCAATTTATTGTTGTTTTTTGTGTTGGAGGCACCTTTCACATCGGGAGGACATCCCAAGGCGCTGGACAGAGAGAGTTACGGACCCAAGCTGGGGGTCAGGGTGGGGGAGGAGGGAGGACAGGGGGAGAAGCAGGGAGATCGAAAGCACGGTCGAAGAGGAGGGTCTTGAGATGGATCTTGAAGGAGGCAAGGGAGGGGGTGGGCGGAGGGACTGTGGGATGGAGTTCCAGAGGGTGGGGGCAGAGTGACAGAAAGCCCATCCACCAATAGTGGGGCGAGCAAGGCGGTGGACGTGAAGCAGGCCAGAGCCGGCTGAGCGGAGGGAGTGAGCAGGATGGTAGGGGGTTAGGAGAGCGCAGAGGTAGGGGGGAGCAAGGTCAAGGAGGGCTTTGAAGGTGAAGACCATGATTTTGAACTGTATCCTCTGTGTGATGGAAAACTGGTGATGATCCGACCCCGATGATGGGGCGGATAGAGGGGTGACATGAAGCAGGCCAGAATCCATTGAGTGAAGGGAGCGGACAGGTCTGTAGGTCACAAGAAATAGGGAGGAGCAAGACCATGGAGGGCTTTGAAACTGTCCAGAACAAGAACAGTGGTTATCATGAAAACACCACAATTTCCTCCAAGTCACTCATCATTACTTGACTTGGGCACATATGATAACTCCTTCATTATCACTTGTTCAATCTCCTGCAACACTCAACTCAACACCATCATCAATGTGGGAGCACCATCACCGTAAGGACTGTAGCAGAGAAATCTAGAGAAATAAACACTACTCTTGTCAGGTCACTCTTATCTTCAGATGAGTTACAAAAAAGAGTTTCCACTTATATCTTTTAAACTCAACCGATCCATTAATGCACAAAAGTTCTACTTGTTTCAATCTCCTTTAATACACCCACGCTTAAGTGTTTTCCTAACCATTTGGCAGTCCTTTACGAATTTCCAAAAGCATTTCTCTCATTGCTCAATTATTGCCTTAGAAAGCTAAGGTCAGACAGCCAGCAATTTATTTCTATGCTGATTTACGACTGTGCAGAAAATAGCAGTTTGTGCAATGAGGCAACTTTGGTTAGAGTTAATAGCAGTTAACGAATTCCAATGCAGCTTTAACAAGGTGGTAAGTATTTTCTACCAATAAACACACCAATGGAGCCAATTTTGTGGGAGCAGATCCATTGAACTTAAGTCACGCAGCACATTCAGGGAAAGGGCAAGCTCTCCCCTGTGCTGCAAGTTACTTTTGGAAGACTGTTACATTTGACTTCACTCTCAAACTGCTTCCAGAGCACAGTTCCTGTGGGATGACGGGAATTCTAACAAATTCCTTGTTTCGGATCCCAATAATAAATACTGTAAGTCAGGCAGCATATTTTTTTGTTTAGATAGTAGATATCATGTGGAGTCCCATAGAATAGTGGTTAGTGCGCTCGCCTCGCAAGTAAGAGGATCCTAGTTTGATTCTTGGGCGGAGAGAAACCTTTGTACTTTGGTACTCCCTCCCAACATGAAAAGCGCTATACAAATGTAATTTGTTGTTAGGCAAGTTTCCTTATCCACATGCCTCTGTTTACCTAATAGTAAGCATGAACCCAGTTTTTAGTCAATTGATGGATCGCTTCCCGGGAGTAATAATCCCTCAAAAAATAATAATAATAATAATTTTGTCACTGAATACATGACTGTTTGTGGGACACTGCTGTGCACAATTGGCTACTGTGTTTCACCCACAAAACAAAGAGTCAGTTCACTTTACTGTATATTCTGTTAAGCGCTTTGAGACTTCTCAATGATGTGTTAAAGCTGTATATCAAATGCAAGGATTATTATTATTTCTGCTATGTTGAGGAAGAACCGTTAAACGATAAGGTGACAAAAGTTTTGGATTAAGACCTTGTTCTTTTTTGGGGGTCAGCTGGGTGTCTGAAACATGCAGAAAACCATTACTATTCTTAAGAGTATTCAAGGGAACCAAAAAAGAACTGTTTGAAAGGAGAAGGGAGTTTCTGCTCGTGTCTTGCCAACAAATCCTGCAGATAAAATTGATCATTCATTTCAAGGATTTCTGTTTCTGGGATATTGCAGTGTACAAATTGTCTGCCATGTTCAACAACAACTGACATTTATATAGTGCCATTCATCCAGAGTAGTATTTTGGAGCGCTAATAATGGTGTAGTTGGCACCCAGCTGGGGAGAAATGTGAGGTGATAGTAGGTAAATTTGAAGAGGAAAGTCTTCAGGTATAGTCTAAAGAAGGGAAAAGAGAGGGCAAGATAGAAGGATCGAGGCAGGGAGTTCCAGAATTCAAGGCATAGTGGTTGAAAGCACCAATAGTGGAGCATAGAGGTCGAGGGAAGAGCTTCATAGCAAATGCAAAGATTATTATTACATAATAACACAAAAAAAATAATGAAAATCATCCACACAAAGCCATGGATTTACATTTTAATCTGCTTACTTTATTAAATATAATTTAGCACTCATCCTCCCAGGTGCTAATTCCACTAAAATATGGGTTTCCTTGAACCATTAAACTTTAATATGGTATCATCTGCAAATTTAGAGATGCCGGTTGCACATTTTCCATTGCTCTGTTAATAAATATTATAACTTACAAAGGTCCCGCAACTTGTCCCTTTGGGATCCGCAAGTCACCAGCGCTCAGCTGTGGCTACAGTCTGGTTTCTAATAAAATATTATCCTCTCAATTCTCTATCCAATTTGCAATCTCAACTTTCATCCCTGGAGCTTTCACCTTTGTTACGTGTTTTGTGAAGGATCTCATTAATTCCTTTCTGAGATTCAAAATATAATATCACCCTCTTTGCCTTGATCCACTAATTTGGTTACATCTCCAAACTACCCTCATAAATTTTTTAGTCACATCCTGTCGTTCATTCATTACTTTCAAAAAATCTCCCTAGATGATCCTTAATTGCTTCTTTCATAAAAGACTCCAATATTTCCCTGCTATTACCATCTCACCAACTGGCCTGTAATTACCAAGGTCATTCCTCTGATCTTTTTTGAAGATAGGATCACATTAACTGTTCTCCAGTGTTTTTGTACCTATCTCTTGTCCAAACATCTGCGTTAACATTTCCACCAAGATCCAGTCTAAAATCATTTTTGTTTCTTTCAATCCTCTCAGATTCCATCTAGGTTTGCAGCTTTGTGAATTTTCAATGCCCCCAATTTCACTGCGCCCATTTTATTTTCATCATGATATTTGATATATTCCCAGATAACTTGACTGAAAGATGAAAAATGCCTCTGACACTTCCACATTTGGATTTGAACGATAAGAATAATTCATTTTATGTTCTGTTATGTGCTTCTATTCGGCCTCCCATATTCATAAGAGATTCTAAAGAACCATTAATCCTTTCCTGCTCTGCCAAATAATCTTTTCTTTTTTCATTTTAATCTTCAAGATGTTTTTTCTCCTTCATTTATTTAGATTATTAAGATGACAGAAACAGATACACAGAGCTTAGAGTCTTGACTGACATAATGCTGAGTAACTACAGTACTGAAGGATCAGTTGCATTGGCAAAGGGCTTTCAGATGAGACTGAAGCCTACTGCTCCAAGGCCTGTCATCAAATAACTTTGAGTACTGCAGACTCGCCTGGCTCAGGACCTGCACGACCAAGACTCCCACAGAGATTGACTTGATTTGATATTCTGATGCCAGGCAGCAAATAAGGTATTATTTTCAGCGCAGGTGTTCTGGATAGAGCTGTTATCTATGGACTCAGAACTCGCTGGTTTTAAGTTCTGAGTTTGCTGGGCTCAGCCAAGACTGTATAGGTAGGTGAGACCCCACCTGACTTTCCCAGGGTTAGAGCAGAAAAGGCTCTTGCACAGGTGGCATGTTTATGTGGAGCCATTAGTTTGATTTAGGTACTCTAAAACATGGCAATCAATGGGTTTCCATTTGGATCGTATACCTGGCTGACTAAAAGTTAAATGTGTCACTGAGCACTAGCCATAACAAAAACAACAAAATTGCATTTATATAGCGCCTTTCACGGCAGGAGAACGTCCCAAGGCGCTGGACAGACAGAGTTTCGGAAGGCAGCTAAAGGAAAATTTCAAGGCCAATGTAAACAGTCACCTATGTATATATATTTGCAGGAAAATAATGAAATATTGGTTTGGGAAATTCAAGGTTACTGATGGGATGCTTGGAAGCAGATGATTGTTCATTGAAATTTGTACTTTCCATCTTGTCTGTCCCAAGTGTTTTAATGGACTGAAGGGGCAAAATTCCACCTAGATTTATTCCATTAATGTAGCATTTCAGTCCAGACAGAATTAGGCAAATTCTTAAATACAGCCTTAATTTTGATAGGCGGTTTCCTGTAAATTCCGAGGTCTGAAATGCTACATTAATGGGATACATCTAGATCCAGGTGGCATTTTATTTTTTTGATTATTTCTGTTATTAACACTGAGACACACTGATTGGAATTGTTCTAGACTGTGTGGATATCTCTTAATGCAAAATAAGCACAAGAGGAATAATGTTATTCTTTCATGCTCTTTGTTGCAAGTTGCAAGCCAGATGCATCACCAGTAAATTAATCAACCCATCACTGAGACAAGCAGCATTGATTTACAGAATTTATTTGTAAGATAAGGACTTCCAACATAAAGGACAAGTTTGATTCACAGGCAATTTCCACAAACGTTTTATAAGGGTAAAATTTGGAGCAGTTGTTAACTCATTCTTTTTCCTAATTGAAGATCCCGTGGCACTATTTGAAAAGAGAAGGGAGTTTATCATAGTGTTCTGACGAACAATCTCCCAGATGAAATTGATCATTCACTCGATGGCTGTTTGCATGACATTGCTGTGCACAAATTGGCTGCTGCGTTCGCCTACAAAAATAGACAGTCACTACACATTATAGTAAATCCTCTGAAGCTCTTTGAGGCATCCACCTGACATGGAAGACGCAGTATCAAATTCAAGTATTATTACTATCATTAAAACAATGAAGGGGCTTGGAAATACTTACAATTTTACCCCATATTCTCATCAATTCAGTATTTGCTTCTCTATTACACTTCGCCTCAATACGGACTAGTATTGGAACCAAAGACATTTACCACCAATATCAACTTTCACTTCTCAAAGACAATAGGGCTGAAATCTTGTCACCTCAAGAAAGTGAAAAACCTAGCTCACAGACAAAGCAGTTTGTGAGACGTAAATGTAATTTTCAGCCGTGTACCCAATATTTGTGAAACCTTGGCTCCTAAGTGATCTTGGGTCAGAGCGATGGGATAATAATAATAATCCTTGCATTTGATATAGCGCTTTTCACGTCGGGAGGACGTCTCAAAGCGCTTCACAGAATATAAGGTAAAGTGAATTGACTGTAAATTTGTGGGCGAACGCGGCAGCCAATTGCACACAGCAGTGTCCCACAAACAGTCGTAGATTGAAAATGACCAATTTATTATTGTTTTTGGTTTCGGAGGGATTATTATTAGGCGTGTGGAGTAAGGAAACTTGCGTAAGGTTTTGCCCTGTCAGGAATCGAACTCAGGTCTCTCACTTGCAAAGCAATAGTATCATTCAATTATAATAATAATAATAATCCTTGCATTTGATATAGCGCTTTTCACGTCGGGAGGACATCCCAAAGCGCTTCACA